ATCCTTGAATTGGCCATACAGAGATGTACATAGACAACAGTTGCTCTCATCATATCATTCGTTAGTTTTTTTTCTTATTGAGATGATGGAGGCAAAAGCTAGGAGGAAAAAGTGCTTATTGTTAACGTCTTAAATGTTGTCTTTTAGTCATGTAACATAAGAAAAAAATTCCATTGTGGTTGGAGTTTCTTGCGTGGGAGTATCATTGTTTAATTCCACAAGGCTTTGTGATACAACTTAAGAGGTAACAGAGAAATCGGCTAGTGTTGATGACAAATAGCTAGTGGAGATTGGCATGATATAGGAAAAAAGCTCGTTGCTCCAAAGGTTATTCAATTCCAACCAAATCCTAAGTCTTCAACCTCCACTATCAAGAAGTGTTAAATGTTGACATGGATAATAATATGATAAAGGATAAAAAATCTATGATGGACACATGTTTCGGAATCTTAGACGATATCTTTCATTGAGTTTGACGGATTTGGAATGTCCAAAGAGACTTGTAAGAGGTGTAATATATCAAGTACAAGGTGATTGGAGTAAGTAATGTTTAAAGGGAGTGCTCATCCAACTTGATGATAGGGGAAAAAGGCTTTATGCAAGCCGCTTTAGTAATGAAGTAATATATAATATAATTTAGTTGAAGGAGATTGCTTGGCATTGGTCTCGGCGAAGTCATAACAGATTTATATATTTGAAAACCCTTTCACTCTTATCATTGATCATGAAGCATAAAAAAATCTCATTGAAGTGGAAAATTTTACTGTTTGAGCTTGCAAAATGGGCTTTGATTTAAAAAAAAACGATTTCACAATAATGCAGATTCATGCAATGATGAGTATGATCATTCATAAAATATGCATTTTTTGGCATGAAAAGAAGATTCATTCAGAAAATACTTATGTCAGACTAATTAGTAGGGAATATTAATCATGTTAAAAAAAACTATATTCGAAAAAACTAGATAGCCATTATTACTTCGGATGTTATTGAACTTTTCTTGAAAGTTCAAGAACATCCGAAGTAATAATGCCATTATGTATTTACTGTCGAAATAGGACGAAGTCGCTACGAATGTGTTTGATGTCCTGAACGTTTTCTAAGCATCGTTATCTATGAGTCACTAATTTACTATAAATGAGATCGTGTGGGCCGGACGGGCGATTGGGGACTTTGTTCTGTCGGACACAACAAAACGAAAAAACAGTCGGACAAAAATTTTGAAAATTGCCCTGGACAACCTCCATCCTGTTCAGCAAATTCTTTCGTTTTTTCTTAACCAAGCCCCTAAGGTCCCGTAAGCCATTTTCAACATATCGCGTCTCGCTCGGATAATTTCTGCGGAAGAAGACTTGAATCTAGTTGAATTTATTCGGCGCCTTCGAGTAGATCGGGTTGTTTTTGGAAAGCGCACCGGTCGTTGTATATTTAACTTTGATTTCCTCCGTGAATAGATCGAACTGGTCTAGGTGGATGTTGGAAAGCAGAGGCGATAGTATACTTCCTTGAGGGCTGGATAATATCCAGTGGATATAGATAGAACTGTTGTAGATATATTTTGGAAAGTATTAGACTTAGTATTCTGCCTTGCAGGGTTACCTAGTTTGATTCCTCAATGTTCCCATAGGGCATGTGTATCGATCGTGACTATATGCCGCCAGCAAGAAGAGCGGCCTTCTCACAGCCACCGCCTTTGGCATTAGGGTTAGGTGAAAGAGTAGAAACATACTGCAGTACAGCTACCACAAAATGAGGGTAATGACTTGAATCTTAAAGAACCCATTTTGACACACAGACACGAAACGTGGGAATGACTAAGGCCGGTGAAGGGTAATCTACTTAGTGGCAGTATTTTGGTTGTGTGGTGTCCAACAAAACAAAGTCCGGGTACTGTCTGACAGTGGCCGATCCCTGCGGCCATTGTTGTTGTTTTTGCATATTATTATTATCAAAGTAATGGGAGACTTTTCATATTTACAATCTTTCTGTTGTGTACTTTATTTTTTCTTCTTTTTTACATTCTTTTTATCAACTTATCATAGGCGCGATAGCTTAGCGAGGCACCATTTTCTTTTTCTGTTTTTCACAAGCAGAGGAGACTAACTTCTTCCCCTTTTTGACTTTACCCACGCCCTTGGCTTCAATCTTGCGTGATGAGGTGTATAGGCAGGACCATCTGAGCTGATAGTCTACAACCTTTTTGAACCCATAGAAGTTATCCCCTTGGCTTTAATCTTGTGTGATGAGGTGTGTAGGCAGTACCATCTGAGCTGATAGTCTATAACCTTTTTGACCTTATAGAAGTTATCACAATATCGGTAATAATCTAAGAACATGTGCGCCACACTTCCATGCGTGATAGTGACATCGTCTTAGGTCGAGAGGAGCCTCCAAAGAAACGCAAGGGCTATCGTATCAACTGCAAACTGCGCAGACTATTTATAAAGGAATGAAAGGCTCAAAAAAGTCCAGTACGTGCTGTCGTTCCACTTACGCAAAAAAAGGAAAAAAACGTGTACAATAGAACTCAGCCTGTTGCACTTGCCAAAAGAGAATTAGAATCAGATTTTTCATTTATAAGAAATCTCAATATACATATACTGGGTTGTATCGCGAGTTTTTAAAATAAAAAAATAAATAATTGGTCGGGTCTGGTAGTCAAAAGTATGTGATGGCTCTAGAATTGCATTATTAGTTTTTACATTTTCCTTCAGAAAATTTCATTGATAAGTTGGTGGACGAGGGTAACGAATCGAAAGGACTTCTGAAGGAAGTGAACGCGTTGGATCGATGGTCAGACCGTGAGTCCCAGGGCTCGTTGACCGTGGATTTGGTCTCAGGTTAATCTGACTCAGGTTTCCTATAATTTTACTGGATGATATTACACATGTCCAAGCAGTCAACACGCCAGATGTTTCGATCAGAAAGTTACATCAAGTCCAAGACCTGTGCCTCGAGCCAATCCTGTCAAGTCATGGTGCGCGAAGACCCCCGTCAATCCTGTCAAGTCATGGTGCGCGAAGAACCCAGTCTGAACTTGTCCTGGCACTCAAGCAATAGTGGAAATGCATGCATGGCACGTAGCATATTCGTAGTTCGTTTGTCAAGCATCTAATAACTTACGCAAACAGAGTGAAAGCGAAGTCGCCACCTATACACCGTCCTGGTTCACCGCATGATGAACATTTGCTACGGTATTTTGAAATCTTCGACATCTGGAGCGAGTATAAGCAACTTTCGATATCTGTAAGTCCACAACCATGTATCAGTTGATTTGACAAACTGGATCTCAATGACATGGTAATCTCAATGAGAAAATGGTCACGGGTTGACACATATATGCTTTCTTGAGTTGGTTGACGCTTGAGAGCTACTCAATATCATTTTTAAACTCAAAAATGATGTCATGTGGCTCTTACTCCTTTATCGTTGAATTTATCTATCGAGCATTGGTCAATAGCAAGTCAAGACATTCATCACCTCGATGCAACATCATGCATCGGTTCATCAGATATTGTAACTTATCTTGTGAACATTTTGAGTTCCAAGGAGGGAGATCATATCTTTAAAGATCAAAATGGTTTAGATGGGAAGGTAGAAATCTCTTACAAATATGGAATGATATGTAACATTTTCGTTGTACCACTTCATCTCAAAGAGCTAAGTTGGTGAAATATGCTCGTACAAAGTCATATGACTTTAAGGTGAACCAAACGTATAATGAGCTTTTGAATCCCTATTGGTGAAGAGGCATGAAAAAAAAATTTGCAACTTGTGACAAGATGTATGAAATGTGTCCGATTGATCATCATTCAATGCTAATAGACGGCAAATACAATTATGTAAGTTTGACTATTGTTGAAGTTTATATTTCTTAAGATCATTATCATATTCTGTACATCATCACCGTATTTTGCTAGTAATGATGAAGCATTCCTTCTGAATGGGTTGAGTTGAGATTAAATGGAGTAAAAGCAAAGCATATGCACTTTAGTTTCAGAATTGAACGAATCTGGTGCATCAATAGATGTATTAAATGATACGAGAATTGAGTTTTTGGTGGATTCAATGCTTTGTATAAGTAAGCGATGATTAATCATTGTCACGTCAACATCAAAAGATCATCTAGAGCCTCATGGTTTAGTATAGAGTGTAGTTCAAAAGATGGAAAGAAGCCTAAGAAATTTTGGCTTGGAGAAGGGTCATTTTGGAGAGCTATCATGGTTAAACACGAATTATTTATATAGTCGGTAAGCATCTTCCACGTACTATTCAACAAACTTCTTGTATATAATAAAGATCCAGGCCAACATGCAGCTATTCATCAGTATATACAATGAAATTACAAGAACCAGCTAAAAATCTGGGCTTCAATAATCTCGATATTTGGATTGACTGTGATTTCAGAGTATAGAGCTCTTTAATTGCAAAATGACTATGGCAACAAAAATCTACTCATTTTTAATCATGAGGATAACCTGCGTTATGCTGCACGCATTGCATTATACTCTTCTGAAAGATGGCATATGTCATGTTTGATAAGTCTGAATCCGGTGCACACTAGGCGATACATATGTCTTCGATGCAATTAGCAGGCAAGGTATTTTTATGGTCTAGTGATATGGATTGGAGATAGGTGACAAATGATGTAACATTTTAGCATCCAGCCTCCTGATCTTAGCCCCACGAAGTTACATTATGCTATGAACTAGGTTTATATCTGGTAATAGAGGGATATGAACGCTAGTCAGAGGTGCTATTGTTATACATTTGTTTTGTTTTGTTGTATGAAAATTATGTATGTTATACTCATTATACAATGAAATTACATTTATGGAATAATTATAATCAAAGTGTGTAATTACTTTTCATTGGGAGACGCTTCTTTGATGAATTTCTTTAAATGCTTTTTGGGTCATACTTCTGACTCTTGCCTATTCTACAATGCTTTGAAGATAGGGCCAGAACGTGTGCCACTTATTTAATCCTTCACGACTTCCTCTTATCGGTGGCGTAGTATTTATTACAGAGTCTTTATTGTGGTGCAGAGTTTCCTCGTTCCGTGTACCTTTCTAACATTTCTAGTCGTAAATAGAACATTGTTCCCAACCACGCGTCTGCCTTGCTTAAAAGTGATCTTCAGTTTAGCGCTTTCACAAGTAGGTGCACTTGCACTTGTGCGTCTGATTTCTTACCCTGGATTGACACTTCAATCCAATATTTAGTTCGATGTTCACAACTTGTTCGGGTCCCATGTTCTGCTCTGGATCATCGTTGAAGCCAGTCTTTAACTCTGAGCCACTCCAATATTTCGTTCGATGTTCACAAGTTGTTCGGCCCCGTGTTCTGCTCTGGATCATCGTTGAAGCCATTGTTTCACTCTGATTCTGATCATTGTGTTGCACAAGAGATAAGTGAGACAAATATGGAGGGCCTTATTGCCGAATTCAAGAGCTGGGCTGTGCATTCCGTTGCAGCATTGGTATTCCTGTACATCCTACTGCAGGTTTTCAAGAGAGTTAGTCATAGGTCCTGGAGACGACCTCCTGGACCTCCATCGTTGCCACTGATTGGCCATTTCCATCACCTTATGTCTGGGTTGCCTCACCACTCCCTGCTCAAAATCGCTGAAAAATATGGACCCATTGTGTGGCTGGATCTGGGGGCTGTGAGTGTTGTGGTTGTATCTTCGTCAGATTTAGCCAAGGAGATTCTGAAAACTCAAGATCATATATTCGCATCTCGCCCTGCAATGATACTAGGAGAAATGCTGTTTGGGAAAGGTCAGGGTCTAATATTTAGTCCTTGGAACGACAACTATCGTCTAACCCGGAAAACGCTTACCACACAACTCTTTTCGCAACAGCGGATGGACACATATCAGGTAGAAGTCTACATGGTTGTATGTATGAGTCTATTGCCGTGCACTATATCCTTTCAACACGCTGTTGACTCGGAGTCTTAGAACTTCAGGCGAGGTGTATTGTCTACTGTCGTCTCACATCTGATTACAGTGACTGTAAATAGCTGAGGCAATTGCTCCACGAACTGCTGCTGATTTCTGTCTATGACAGCAAGAATTATCAATTCTTACTTTCTTCCGGGTTTTACCTTTGTATAATTTGTTCTCATCATCCTCAATTGCTTCTCCTTCACAAAATTCCAGACAGCAAAAACTGGCTCGCATTGCGTCTTCGCAAGTAGATATCAATTTCTGTTGTCTCTCACTGTCACCAGCTCGTGTTACTCTCGTTGACATCACGATTCCCTTTAGGTGGCTGGTGCATCGTGTCATCATTTTGGCGCCGCTTACATTTTTACTGATGTGTACAGGATTTGAGGCGAGATTTGGCTTTGAAAATGATGCAAACAGCATTCGACGAGGGTCATGCGAATCGTGACATAAGTTTATCTGATCTCATACATGAACAGTTTATGTCCTTGACTACCAGAATGCTTTATGGAATGGATGGACATGCTCAGAATAAGCACCTTCTTGAAATTATCAGAGATTTAACAGAAACAGGATGGTTAGTATTAGAAGATTACTTCCCTTTGCTGAAGCCATTTGATCTGAGTGGAGAAGTTAAAAGGCTGAAGAAGTTAGGTGAAAAATATTCCGAACTTATGGATTCCATCATCGACCAGCGCCTGAAGGAAATTTCCAACTCGAAGTCAAATAAAGAAGAGAACCTCTTGGACGTGCTGCTGGCTATGAGCAGTTTTACACGTTCTCAAGTCAAAGTCATTCTTCTGGTTTGTGACAGATGCTGACCTCTTCCGCTCGAAGTATTCATTGCATGACGATTGCTTCCATTCTGATATTGATTAAGAAACTAAAATTCTTTAAAACTCCACGTTGTGTTTCAAAAATTTTACGTTGTGTTGGTCCGCTTTATCCTTCACCCGTCATCATAGTAAAAGTTTGATCATCGATGTTTTGAGCTCCCTCTACGGTTCTGTGACAAGAAATTCGTACATATTATATTCCAGTGCAGATAGCAGTGTAAGGATGACAGTGGCAATAATTCTCATACTACATGTAAGTGATATCAATAATCTCTCTAGATGTATCGTCTTGTATCTTGTATGCACATGATCATTAATATTGGTGATTCTTCAATCAGGACATTATCTTTGGTGGAAGTGATACTAGCTCTGATACGATTGTTTGGGCTATGACTGAACTTCTGCGACATCCGAACATTATGGAAAGACTTCAGAATGAGCTCGACGATGTGATCGGGAAGGAAAGGCTGGTTGAAGAAGCAGACCTTAAAAAACTCGAGTATCTGCAGGCAGTGGTGAAGGAAACACTTCGGCTGCACCCAGTCGGTGTTTTGGGTTCTCCTCACTTGGCTATGGAGTCAACAAAAGTGGCAGGCTACGATATCCCCGCCGGCACCCGGGTCACGGTGAACATTTATGCCATTGGTAGAGATCCTAATGTTTGGGAAAACCCCTTGAACTTTGATCCTTCGAGATTCTTAAACAGCCCAATAGATGTGAAAGGGCAGCACTATGAGGTTCTGCCCTTCAGTTCCGGGCGAAGGAAGTGTGTGGGCATGAATTTAGCGCTCGTGTCTGTGGCATATAACGTCGCCCTGCTGGTTCATGCTTGTTCGATCTCCCTGCCTGAGGGCTTGACCGCCCTGGACCTGGATCTTGAAGAGAAGTTCGGAATAACCGTATCGAAGCGGAATCCGCTGCCTCTACTAATAAAGAGGCGGCTGTCTTCGGACGTCTACCGGAAGGCAGGATTGAGTGTTTCTGCGCAGTGAACAATGAACTGCAGCTCATGTAGATACTTCAGCGGAAATTACAACCGATCTTTGTGTATCTTCTTTATCAATAAAACAATCATCATTTGGATTATTATTATTATTATTATAACTCAGTTTTTTTAATAATATTCTCTATCTATCCGATAAGTTCCTCTCTGTTACGAAATCCCACCGTCCCGAAAAGCAGGTGAAGAGGTCGGATAGGTTCTGTACGCGACTCAGTTTTATCACTAAAATTCGTGTAGTATGATAGGATATGATGACGTATTAACTGCCCACATTTTCACAAAGATTTTAACGAAGTAGAGTTTTTTTATTGAAGCAACTTTTAATTTGTTGTGAGCCCAAACAATGGATAATTCATGATGTAAGCTTGATACGTTGATTTGTAAAATTTAAATCTTATTTTAATTTCTTGGTATTTCATGAAAAAGAAAAGGAAGTATAAGATTTTGTGTAAAACAGATAACAAGAATATGAGAGAATGAAATAAAAAAAATGGAAAAATCTTCCTCTCTAAAATAATTTGACATTGAAATCGTACAAATGATAAAAAATGTGAGATAATAAATGAACTAATACTTTTGTATTACTTTGATAAAAAAGTCTTATTGAAAAAGATTCACCACATAAAAATTGTGAAAAGGATAATATGAATAAAATAATAAATAAAAAATAAAAAATGGAAAAAACACTACACACATGAAGAACAAGGAAGACATGAAATCATATTGACAACTGATTCGAAAGAAAAATATATACGATATGCTGGATATGATGAAATAAATTACATCAATGTTTACAAAAATAAAGTATAAAATGTTTGGAATCCGAAAATAAAATAGGAGGAATAGAATAAATTTTTTTAATTAAAGTCATCTCAATGATAGAGATTTATGGAGATGATTTTTAATCGATAGTTTTACAATGAATCCCTCTAGTTGTAAATATCATTAAACATATTTCCATAATGATTGCCATAACCATTGGTTTGAAATCCATCATAAATTTTAACCTTAATATCAAAGCGATTTGATTTTGCAATGATAAAAATTGAAATGACTAAATTCAATCTTTATTTTAAATATGTATAAGTTAATCGAATTTGCTTTTGTGATATTTTTATTCATAATTATACAAATTGTAAATTACTTACAAAATTAAAATATTTAAATAATATCTTTCTATAAAAATTATGTTGGCTAAAGATGCAAACTTACTCAAATAGATTTATAGAAAGTAAACATGAAATATCAAATTTTAGTCTAGAATAATGATATTTTAAATAATAATTTTGAAAAATTAATTACCACAGTTTTAATTTGACTTGATTTGATAAAAAATCATCTTGTAATTTTATTTTGAAAGTTATTTTTACAAAATAATTTTACTTTTGATGAAAAAATAGAAAAATTACTTAATTTTCTTATTGTTGTGGTGTTGAAAGAAAAAATATACAATCTTGACTGTATTGCTTTACGGTATAAGGTAAAAAAATTAGAAAAAAGTACTAAAGATATGGTTAAGATAGAATTGTTAAGATAAATTATATATTTTTTACAAATGGTTAATTATTTCAGAAAAATATGAAAGAATCATCTATGATTTTTTTGGCAGAAAATCTAGAATAATTGACAGTCATGAATGATATATTTTGAAGATGAATATCTTGGCTTAAATATAATTTTCAGAGTCAAATTATGAATAGAAGCTAGAATTAGGATCTGATGAATTCAAATTTGAATTCAAAATAATTTGAATCGATTTGTATATATAAATGAAATAAATTTTCAATGATTCAAATTTCTATTTATTTCAAAAATGATTAGGTTTTATTTACTTCAAATTAGTTTGAAGTCAATTGGTGAAGCTAGTTAAACTATCATTGAATAAAAGAGCTCACCCTGATATTATGTGAGGATTTCTTAAAAGCATGAGATATTGCATTAATAAAATTCGCAGAAATCACTCACATTTCTTCAATATTAACTATGCCTGTGAGTATGCTCCATGTGTTTAAGTGTTTGTGTGAATGCGTATAACGAATGGGTTCAAAATAATGGTTTTTTGTGGTTAAAAACCTAAGAACTGAATTTGAAGCATATGATCATCATTGTGATGTTTGCACTTATCACAATTTTATTGACAAGATTTGACTTTGAAGCTTTAAACCCTAAATATAAACTCTGAAAATGAAAGATTTTTAGAATGGTAAAAAATGGTAAAAAATGGTTTTGAATTATCTTTCACTGTTTACATCCATATGTTATCAAGGTTGATTACAGGAAAGTTACACTAATATCACTTTTTGTTATAAATTAAAACTTATATGATAGCAATGTTTTCTTAAGCTTACTAATAAATGAATGAAAAATTTTATAAAAATAAGCATACTCTTTTTCCAAGATCAAAGATTTTCATCTCTATATTTTATTTCAACAAAATGATGTTTTAGAATGAATGAATCAGCTAGTTTTAAGATATACAATTATTCAATATGACAATCTCCTCATAGAAATTTTTTAATAAATTCTATCATTTGATCTAATTTTTTGAGACTTGACTTGATAATTTGATATCCAATTCCTAAGTAATATAATCCATATATAATTGAATTTTTGCTTGTTTCAAATTATCAAACCCATAATGATTAATTTTTCTCAATAGCATTCGTCATTATTGGAACAACAAATTGACTTCAAAGATATGGATTTATGGAGAACTATATTTTAATTGACATATATCTTATATATTTCAGAATTTCATAAATTTTAATTTTTTATATGACTAGCATATTCAAGATAATCACATGGGATTCTCTTTAATTTTAATTTTATTAGTTTTCAAAAGAAAAATTTTAAAACAAAATATTTTCAATGAATTTTAAATCAATCATCTGTTTGTATATTCTTAACACCATCTGAGCTGTTATCAAATTGATTTTATTACCAAAAAAATTTTCAAATGAAATTCAGCGATAAAAATATCAATTCAGAATTTTATAATTAACCAACTTAGTTTAGCAAATTATGTAATTTCTTCAACGTTATGTCTGTCAAAAGATTCATTTTTTGACAAATTTTTCTTACAAATTATAAATTCTGATGTGATTACAAATGATCTCGTAAATAAATTTTAAAATCTTTATAAAGATACTTTTCATCATTATCTATATGTAGATTTCATCTTAAGACAAGTTTCAGTTAGAATTTGAAGATTTTTTATTTTTTAAAGTTGCAAACACTTTTGTATGAAAAAATATTTTCATACACATCTTGACTAATTATTTATAGATAATACAAATTATAACATTCTAGAAAGTGAGGTTTTTCAAAAAATCTCAACAAATCACTATGTACAGGAATTATTTTGAAATTATAAGAATTTTTTTAAATTTTTTTAATGATGTTTCATCATAGCAAATTTGGTCACAAAACTCTAAGTTAATTTTACCTATGTCGAGTAATAAGCTGCCGTTGTCAATAGATGTCATGTACATATTACTCATGTATTTCAACATAAAATATCATACGTGAGACAACTCAGCTCAAAATCTAGTAAATTTGATTTTATCACAAAAATTTTTGTACTTTAATATGTTTAGATTATTATGTTTATATCTTCACAACAGTATTTTACCATTCATTTTTACCTTAAGCGCTTTCACTCTTGAGCCATATTCAAAATTTTTTGAATTTTATTTGAATTTGAATTTGAATCAATATTGATTAACGTCAATCACATCAGATCCATATTTGATGTGATGAAAAAACTTCCTCATTTTGGAATGTAAAATTCAAATTTTTTTGAATATAGCTCAAGAGTGAATCAATATTGAATCACGTCAATCAATAAGTCAGATCAGTGATAATTAGCCAAAAGATAGTCATAAAATTTTAACAATATCAATATTGATGATTGAACATGATAACTCTTCAACAAGGTTAGGACGCCAAATCAACTACTCAAATTTTTTTACCATCTGTCATATTTTTCCAAATTTTATCTAATGATTTTTATTTTCTTCTACATAACAAATTTTTTTTTTCTCATTAAAACTCTATTTTTTGTCCTTCAGAGATTTCATCAGATCTTTTATAAAATGAGAGACTAATTAGATTAAGGAAAATAGAATTAGCTTGATTAAAAATATATTTTTGTAAGTTTTTTTCTGTTAAATCAATGACGAGTTGATTTGACAACTCAAAGAGATGTATGACAAGGATCATATGAGATGTACCTGAACTTACTATGTAGTTTTAAGTCTAAGTTTTAGCAATAAGAAGATGAAACTATGAGTATTTGTGATAGCTTTTAGTTATTTTGTAAGATCATCAAGCAAAATTATGTTTTACGTTATAATGAACGAGTGATGAATATATTGAGATGCATACTTTACTCTAATGGGATTCGATGTTCAAATATAAACGACAAACATTTTGAATGCACAACAATTTCTCATCCTATGGATGGTATTCTCATCTTCTAAAATGAAAATTTTAAATCAATCCAATGAAAATACTGATATGATTTTTCTATAATGATTTTAAACAATGACACACCAGCCACTACGCCTAGTGTATCACACAGACTGATGATAAAGCCGACGAAGTCAATCTCATGACAAATAATGAACTTATATCTTTGGGAAATATCGCTACAAAAATTATATACCTCATCATATATTTAATGACACGTGCATAATCACAGTTCTTTAAAACCTCACTTGAAGAAATTTTTATTAAAAAATGACTTGTATAAAAATTCTACATAATGTCCAGGTTTATTTCAATGAATTTCATTGAAATAATTAGGTTTAAAAGTCGCAAGGACTACATTTCAGGAATCCAATCATGTGTTGATTTGAGAAAATTATTCAAAACTCTTTAACAGGTTTACCAACATCTATCAATATCGTTTTCCATGGTGTTTTATTTTACACCAATACAACCAAAGAAACGAAGACGAGTATTACACACACGGTTAATGATCAACAAAAGTTTACCCCGTCATGCTTGAAACCCTCACAATACCTTCTGCTCTTACTCTGGTTACCTTTACGGATTTACCTACCAATGCATCCCTTGGGGCATATGCAGTCAGAACATGGTAAGTGCAATAGGATGCCATTGAGGCGCTACCAGAGATTACCATTAATCCATGGACGACTTAACGGGGCCTTCGCGTACTTTGTGCCATATTACTCCGGTGAATAAGAAGAAGCGGAGGTGTCGTAGAAGAACATGGCAATGATGGCCACGCCATACAAGAGCTCGAGACTGGTTGCCTTGCTCTGCCGCGAGGGAGGAGTGGCTGAAATCCACGGAACGTTCGAGACAAGGCAACGCTCCTCGACCCCGATCGCACACTTGTCCATTGGCACGGAGTTGCGGGCGTGACAAAAGCTGCTAAGGAGCGGATTGCGGAGCCATGCCGATGCTCAATGTGAACACGAATGTGCCCCTGGATGCTGTTGTGATTTCGGACATTCTCAAAGATGCCAGCAAAGCCATCGCTCGTCTTCTCAGCAAGCCTGAATCGGTCAGTACTGTCTTCTCCGGATGTTTTCTTCTCTTTCCCGCTTGTCGCAAATGTCAAGTTCGAGAGTATTTCCGCATTTCTTTCGTAAAGCATATGTGAAGTTTGGAGCTGTGACGTGCGCTGGAATGGTATGGGGCTCATGGAATGCAGAAGCGGAATTTAGCGTTCCCTTTTGACTGGATTGTGGTGAGTGTGGAATAAGAGAGGGAGGTGGTTTTAGGTGTGGACTGATTTGCGGCGAAAGCTTACAAATAGGGATGGTTGTCTTTTTCAGTATGTGATGATTTCAATCAGGCACGGAGTACCAATGTCTATGGGTGGAAGCGAAGAACCTACTGCTTATGCGGAGCTTATATCCATTGGTGGCCTCACACCCCCTAATAACAAGAAAATTAGTGCTGCCATCTCTGAAATATTGGAAAAGAAAGCCAGTATTGATCCGGGAAGGTTCTACCTCAAGTTTACCGACGTCAAGGTAATTTTACGATGTTCTGTCCTTTTGGTTTCAAGAGTCGTATTTGACTATTGTAGTCTTGTGTGCTTGATCATAATCTTCTCAGTTCTCAGAGGCTGTCTCGATGGTCTCTTCACTGGCTCGCCTCGGATAACCATTCAAATTGTTCATTCTATCACCTGTCGTCAAAATATGAGTGAGCACTCATATAAGTCACATGAAAATATTCAGACTTATCCTTTATTCATTTCCACTATTATAGTGTACTAAATCAAGCCGCAAGAACTGTTTGGCTCTGCTGTACATCAGCTGTTATTATCTGAACTTGCTTCACCTGTACATGAGCAGGAATATACGCCTGAAAGTCAATTCAGCAATGTCGTGTGTATGCATGCCCTCCATCAGTAGATAGGAGGATATTTGTACTCAAACTTCACAATTCTTTCCAGCTCTTCTATCATCTGTCCATGCCAATTGGTAAGTTCGAAGAAATGTGCATGAGTGCATTTACGTAGCCTCCTTCAGCATCTTTTCAACCTCCAAACATCTGCTATGGGGGAGAAAAGTAGATTATTTTCTTCTGTCGAGTCTGACGTTGCCAAGTCTAGGAAAGTGTAACTCTTTTCACAGTCCTTTCAATAAAAAAATACTAATCATACAACTCGGAAGCTGCCCGAAGACTGAGTTTCCATAATGCTTCACTTCAATAGAATGAGGAAAGTTTTCTGCTTCCAGTGCAAGATTTAGATATAGACTGTGATGGCTAAACTTCTATGTCTAAACAGAGAGCTTGTGTCCTTTGCTGCAGGGAAGTGACATTGGCTACAACGGTTCCACGTTCTAAGACGGTCCTGGTCCAGTGAAGTGGCCTAAAGATCGATGGCAGCACTTTCAAGTTTATATAGTGAGGCATTCTTAGCCGAGAACCTTTACTGACTTCAAGTTTTCCCTTTCTTACAAGCTGACGTGCATTCAGCCGGCTATGGATGCTCTTCGCCTTTAGGCTGGAGAGTCTCCCGTTTGGATTTTGAACCAGCAATGTTGCAGATTCTGAAAGTCGGAATTGCTGATCTCAACTATGAGTTCAGTTTAACAGAAAATATGCTGTATGCTCTAAGTCGCAGGTAGCTCAAGGAAAAAGGGGCACGATTTCAATTCCTCTGTCTCCGTTAAGTTTCCAAGTGTAATATCCAAATTTTTGTAAAACAGGCAAGCTCGCCGGATGTGTTAAGAGAGCTGTTTTGAGAGGAATTTCTTCCTTTCAGACGAAGGAGAAATATTACATACTTGTCTGGGACTGATGTTGTACGTGATAACGTTTGGGCCTTTTGAAGCATTGATGATCGGGCGTTGCGCAAAGCTGCAGTCATTTTCAGCTAGGACTACTCTGCAAGGAGAGTGGTAGAAGGATCTTTTTCTCGCTCACTTGTTTTTCCACAGGGGAAGCTCTCATTTGTCCGGAATTTGGTGTCATTGAGTTGAAGGCATAATGCATCTCATAACGTTTTGTCGAAGCTTCAAGCTGCATGTATGCATCGAGTGTTTGAAACAGGGAGGACCTCGTCAATGTGAGGATGATGAAATATAATGATGCTTTTGTACCCGATTTTGTTAACTTCTCCCACATTATTCACAAACTTTTCGAATATGTTTACTGCATAGCGTAAAGAGTAATTTTATTATGTGAACAACTGTTGAAAAGTTTGGGATGTACACAAGTTTCATAGCATGGAAAATCTGTTACTGAATTTGAATCATCTTCACGTACATTGTAGTTGCATGTTAATTCTCAGACAAGTTACACGAAAATAAACGCTTAAAGTATATTATGATCGGCGTTGATAGCGAGTAGGATTATTTGCATTTTATAGCGAATGGTACACTTCTTTCAGTTAATAAGTTGTCGGCACTAAGTGAGAAGGTAAGTATTTACGTTGATCGTATATTGTAGTGGCAATGAGAAGGTTGTGCTTATGTCGATTATTGTTTGTGAACTGGAAAAAAAGGATATTGACAGCTAGTCTAACAAAGCTGTCTGCAACAGTGAAAATTAGTGCAGTAGGTTGTCACTGTATTGTCCCTTTACAATTTTTTCGACCTTTTAAGACAAAAAAATAAATCGGCACAGTTTGTGGATTTAAACAACACGATTGGCAAGTTCTGATACATATTATATCACTCAGTTGCAAAGTTTTCCAAGTAGAACTGAACTTGGGCAAGCTGCATATTTCTGTAAATATTCACAATTTAGAAGGCTTATGACCTCCAATCCTTCACATCTCTTGCTACATGTCGTGAGGCCTATTCAATTGGAGAGATCACGACTTTGCCAAAAGCTCGGCCCGTTTCCAGGTAACCAAATGCCTCCACAACTTTGGTGAAGGGAAATAAACCTTGAGGGTCGAGTACGGCTTGCATTGATCCAGTTTCGAAGTAAGGGTTCAGCTCTTCCAAGTCAGAACCCTTGGACACAATCACGTATCTAAAGCCTGGCGGCTCTACAGGTCCCGTAATGACAACCAGTCCACCATCAGGCTTCACGACCTTCGTTCCCTCACCCTTCCCTGCACACACGGAGACTCCAAAAACTTCAACTCGAATGAACGGAGCAAAGGGACCACATAGTACTACTCATCCATTGACTTGTGTAGGTGTAGATGTGCAGATCGCAAAAGATGTCTAGGTTTAGCACATAAACTACCATGAGGAGGGATATACTAGATAAAACTCTTCAAAGTCTAGTTCTTTCTGATGCTACATGCAAACTCTGACGAAAATAACCTACTCTGAACTACAGCTTCGAACATGTAGTCACGTGAATGAAGAATTTCTGAGTCAAAATATTAACTTTTCTGCATGAAATTTGTGCGGTAAAACAACCGTCCAAAAGAAACAATATTGTGCATGCGATCATTCAATTTTCTTACCAACGGTATCGTACACAACATCGTATTTCTCTGGCCATTCTTCCAGCTTTTGCTTGGTGTAGTCAACGACAACGTCTGCGCCCAAGCTTTTCAAAAGATCGACCTTGCCAGTACTTGCCGTCGCTGCAACGGACGATGCCTTGAAGACTTGCTTGGCCAACTACAGTTCAACATTCAAAGAATTCATGTGAAAAAAGTGAACTCGAGTTTCTGGGTGAGAATGTATTCCCGTACGTCAAACGAAAATAGCACTAAATAGGACCGAGAAAAGTGCTCAGTTGATCTGATATTCGACCATGATAGGTTGAAGGGAATTGATAAATGATGTAGGTTGGCTTCCTACCTGAATCGCCAAAGTGCCTACACCTCCGGCACCTCCGAGGACCATCACCTTGTGTCCCTCCTTGATACCTGCCTTTTGCCAACCTTGATAGGCAGTCTGAAGCGCCAAAGGTAAGCTCGCAGCTTCGGCAAAAGTGAGACTCTGAGGCTTCTTCGCAAGCAGCTTCTCCTCGGCTGCTGTGTACTGTGCGAGAGTTCCGTACTGTTTGGGACCGTTGAGGCAGAACTCGGAAGTGTCTCCATAAACCTCATCACCGACCTTAAACTTGGACACTTCACTTCCCACTTTCACCACTATACCTGAACAATCGTATCCCGGTACAATCTACACGCAACCAAAACATTACCAAGAATGAATTTTTAGCATTCTTTTGAATGCAAGGAGATTCCAACTTCCAATATTTGACAACTCTTCAGTTGTCAAATATTAGTCAACTCTACAGCTAGGACGAAAGAGGGAAAATGTATCGGGAAATCGCTACCCCGCGATACCCGTACCGCATCAGAATGAGCCCAAGCTCCGTTAATTTCCAGATTCAGATCTTACAAATCCCACTTGAATGCAGGTTTAAGTATCAAAGGAAGTCTAGAACTCAGATATTTCCAGCTGCCCTTGAGTTCACAGACGATTGCGTTGCAAAAAACTTCACGAGAACGCTTGATTTCCAAATTTCTCAGGGTCGCAGTAGCAGGAAGAAAATGCCAGAAAGGAAATTTGGGCACGGCTGACGCATTAGCTGTAAACCACAGTCAACAATGTTGTGGAGATACTACAGGGGAACACAAACTCCATTTACTGGAGACCTCCAAACGGATCATCGAATGTCTTCGGAGGCTGTAATGAATATCGAAAAGGCTTTAGCACAGACAGTGACGAAGAGATACCTCCTCTTCCAGACAGCCCGTGAATAAAATCTTCACTTAATTGCTTAGTACAGACGAGAACTCGCTCAGTGCTAAGGGATGCTGTGGTGGTGCCCTTCGGAGCGCTCGGGCAGCAGAAGGCACAGAGGAGACCGAATGTCGACCACAAGAGCTGGAGAGAAACTCCAGCCTATCGATTGCTCTTCTGCATTCTGAAGTTTCGTAGTCTGAACGAGCAGTTTTATGTATTTCCCTTTTCGGCGGAAAAGGGAAAATTTCGGTTCGCAGTCAGAAGAAGATTCTTACCCCTGTATGAACGTTTCTGACTCTTCAGATAATTATCCCACTTATATGACGATTTGGCTACTGCTTCTGAGCTGATCCGTAGTTAGAAGTGTGTATCGTGCACGTCTGTCCCTCTTATCGAACCCACATTTAATCATTTGCTGGAGCTACCAATAGCCTAAACTCATAATTCGGCACAAAGTTCGGAGAAGAGTAAGGAAGGAATACTCACAGGAAGATCCGAATCTGTGGCCTGAAACTTTCCACCCCGTCGCTTAGAGTCGACAGGATTGAGAGCCGCTGCACAGACCTTGATCAGCACTTGGTCGGGGTTCAATTCCGGCACAGCAACCTCACCAATACTCATCACTTCCTTCTCGCCATAGGCCTGGTAAACCCAAGCTTGCTGCGTCTGGGGAATGGCCATGGCAACAGAATCCGCCGAGGCCTCCTCAGTGCGAATCTCCGCTCTGACGCCAAGCACGGCGCTGGAATTCAACTCCCTCCGCCATGCTCGCCCTCCATTCTCCTTCGTCCGCAATCCCACCGCGCCACCAAACTTCGTCGCGGGCACGAGCGACATCGATGCCTTGCACGACGACGACGAGCGCCGTCGTCGTTGGCGGCCATCGCACTGGCCCGCGAGCACAGCCACATTCCCGCCGACGCCAGCTGTTACAACTCCCGCCATGGCAGGAGCGTTACGGGAAAGATCAAGAACTCCAGGCGCTTCCGCTGCCGCTCGTCGTCCTCCTCGTCCTCGGTCTTCTTGAACGTTCAAGAAGCGTTATATCTGCCTGCCTGCCTGCGTCTGTGTGTGTGTGTGGTGGAGCAAGCTTAAAATCAGAGTTCTCGATTTCGTAATGCAGGAGCGGTAACGAGAGAGCTGCTTCGTAGACTCCCTTTATCGACTGGCATTGGATGAGGCTACGCGGTCCAGCCACGTGGCATGCTGATTGGAACTCTGCGCTGAGTTTGCAAAGTGATGATGACTTGGCAACCGAGGCCGGTATAGCTGGATGAATACCGTAGAGAAAGGCATCGAACCGTACTGGACTGCATGTGGTTTTAGGCCTGTCGTGGACGATTGGCTGGCGCGGGGGAAGGCGCCCCGCGCTAGACTGCCAGACGAGATCTCGACCTTTCGATGGATCTCTCGAGTGTGGAGCCGACCCTGAGTCTTCAATCTGGTCCATGTTGTGGTGGTGCCCTTCGGAGCGCTCGGGCAGCATAAGTCACAGAAGAGACCGAATGTGAACCAACGTGAGCTGCAGAGAAACTCGAGCCTTCTCGAGCCTTCGAGGTTGCTCTTCTGCATTCGGAGGTTTCATAGTCTGAACGAGCAGTTCTACGAATTTCCCTTTTCGGCGAAAAAACCAAAATTTCGTTCCGCAGTCAGGAGAGTATTCTTTACCCCGTTGCTGATCTTCAGGTAATTTTCCCACTGGGGATATTGCCTCTTATTGAACCCCATGTTACATGGGGTTCAATAAGAGGGACAATAATAGTTCGATGAAGTTTCTAATGTGGAAGTGTAATTTTGGTACATGGGCCAAAATCACACTTCCACATTCGAAACTTCATCGATCAAATTATTATTTTGCATGCATTTGATGAGACCTGAATCTCGTTGTGTACCGATCGGTGAATGAAGTTTTCGTTCTCAACTCTACAGCCTAAGCCCCATGTGTGTTACTTTCGCTTTTATCACAAAAAATGTATACAAGCATCAGGAGTTGTGAATGATTTCATGTTTTCGTGTAGCACTTGTGCTCTACAATAATTTGCAGTTGACTGTTTGCTCACATTTGTATCCACTTATATTATTCAAAAAATTTGCAAATTTCAATTTCATTCCAGTAGAGATCTTCCCAACGAGTGCATTTTATGAATATTCATCGATGCTCATTCATATCCGACTTAATATGTATGTCCTCCGTAGTTTTGGAGTTTTCAAGTTCTTTGTATTGTATAACATAAACGCAAGATAACATTCTACAATTCAAACAAAGAAAACGGCTGCATACTTTTCAGCTAGTACCGTATTTTTAATGTACCATTCTGGTACTTATAAATGTATGTAGAGAGGGAGGGAGAGAATATTATCAAGAAATTACTCGACCATCGAAACGAAGGAATGTGGAAGTAAAGGAATGATGTACGGAAAGCTTTGAAATATAGTTTCAAACCAAGAAAGGTCGTGAACGCTATCAAACCAAACAAAAGGAACAAATATGTGCAATACTATATACAAACTTGTTTATCATAATATGTGTATCAACAACTGCTAAGTATATGTGATCACAGGAGTCCGAGTAGGAAGTGAATATGGTGCCCAAAAAGTGAGTATCCTTACCTAGATGCTAGCTGGATTCTAACGATGGAGAAATACAATAAGACTGCTACTAGAAAATATTGTTGCGAATTCTAATCTGTTATATGAAATTCAAAGTAGTCTTTATTTTCAACCACATTATTATTCTTATCAATTTGGAATCTCCATACGATAAGCTTGTGAGAAAATATTGTTAAAAATTACAGTATTTATAGATATCCACGTGCATTGAGTTGTATTTATAAAGCTTTCAAGTCATCTCATGTAAGGTAGGTGGATCTTTTTAAACTATCCTTATATAAATCTCTTTATCTATTGCTTTGGTTGTGTATTTGTTTTAAAAGAAAAAACACATTACGGGTTATGTATATCAAAGTAGGCATGCATTTCACAGCCAACTCGTAGTATTGAAATTGAAACATTGGCATGGCATTGGTATTGTATTAGACAATTCTCACAAAATGAAGTTTCCAAACACTAATATGACACCAATTTACACGTTACATGTTCTTTGAATGGCAATATCATATAAGAGCTTTTAGCTAGTAACCATATAATGCGGATAATGTTCATATAGTTTGAAAAAAATTCTTCAAAAGCCATATCAAACCTTGATACCAATCTTAACTGCAAGGAAGATTTAATCTATATAATGATATAAACCTATCTTTAATTAAGAAAATTATTTTACTTATTTATTTTTTTATAAATAGCTGAAGAGAATGTATAAATATATAAATGCAGGACTTTATAGGCTGTGGTGGATGATGAGAAGATCTTGAGAGATCACTTTTATAAAACCTGGTGTGCAGAAATGCGTACAGGGTCGTTTGTGAAGGCAACTCTGTAGTATACGCGTAGGGTACGTACAAAACAGAGAACTGGAGTAGGTTAAAGGATAGCCAAACAGGGAGCGAATGAAGAAGGAGGGCACGAGGGAGGGTGTCCTGGCCATAATCGGAATTTCAGAGACTTATCGAAGGAGAATATCAAGGATTTGTCAGCAAAGTCCAGCATACACGTCAATCCCATGCTGCTGAGTGTTCAGTTTCAGCGATAGTCCCGTGTGAAAGGTTTCGGATCAGATTCGTCGTCGGACTACCACTAGGGCAGCTGCTGGAAGTGTGTGTCATACGGGGTTCAATTGTCGATCAATTAGCCGGAAAATGGTCGCCTCGCTCTAGCCCGGTGGGGTAAGAATTAGTTGAGGTTGTGATCCTACGATGGCAGCGCGGAGGGTTCTGCGGAGCAATCGGAATCTTGTTTCATTTTGTCATGCGAATTTTCTCTCAGAACTTGGGGGCTTCAATGGGATTCCTCCCAGGAACTTTGGATCGTTGATGGTGTCGGATTCGCAATCGGCGTTGGTGAAAAATTGTCGAACGGAAGTGGTTGAGGACGATGTTTGGAGAGGATGGAATCTTGCTCGTGGATCATCTCGCTCTTACGGTTCTGTTTCAGCCACCTTGAGGCACGCCCCTGCTCATCCTTTTCGTGGGAGAATTTCCCAGAGGAATTTGTTTCTAAAATCGTCCCCCGAGCATGCTGCTTTGCAATACCTGGATGCTCCTGATGAAGGTCTCTCTCACACACACTCATCCTGCAATTCTTATTATTGAAGATTGATTTGATATTCCCAAGGACCAGTACATGGAGCTGTGAGAAGTGGTTCATTGAGATTACAACACAAATATATCTCAGAACTCAGTATCGTGTGATGGATTACCCTTATCACAGGAAATGGTTTTTAATCGTCATCTTCTGTAGACCTACAACTGAATTCTGTCATATGTGAACCAAGAGTTAGTCAGGAGATGAAAAAGGTGTTAATTCGAAGTAGATTGTTGCAGGAGTAGTCGTCATTTCGCTAAACAGATCGGAGGCAAGAAATGCCATTGGCGCAGAAATGCTTAAGCAGCTTCATAGCATTTTGGAGGGTATGCGACATTCATCATCAGCACGAGTGTTGATTGTGGTCAGCACTGTACCAGGCGTTTTCTGTGCTGGCGCCGATCTGAAGGTGGGTTTGATGGACTGACTTGCCTCCAGACCTTCGTGATCGAAGTGCAGGACACTTCTTGTTTCTATTCCCTGGTTTGAAATCCATCCAAGCTATCGAAGTTCTTGCAGAAGTCGTCCCGAGGTTTCCTCAGAGTGCATTCAGTTATTTTCAGTTCTACCTGCGGAATTCTTCATGAAATCTACTTTAGCCGTTTCAGGTGATTGCTATCAAATTGTTTCATTAGAAGTTCATTAATGAGTTAAAGTAGTCCCAACTGTAGATTAGACAGCATAATACCTGTATGATGGTTCACTTTTCTGCTGCTGCTTATGGTTTGCAAACATGGTTCATTTGGTTCAACAGGAACGACGTAAGATGGGTATATCTGAGACGGAGAGATTTGTAGGCAGCCTTCGCTCGACTTTCTCTGCCCTCGAGGTTTGTACATCCTACACCTTCTCAGATTAACCCCATATAATTGTACAAAAGAATTTGTGGTCAACACCGACCAACTTTAGAGATCTTCAGATTCTCGAGTTTTACATGATTACCACTGCATGCACTTCTAGTGCGCCATCTTCATTTTCCTAATCTTATATGGGCTACCTTCTTGACAAATACTGGACAACTTGAAGGTTTGACTGAAACTAGGTACATCAGTAGATAGGAAATGGTAACCAGAATGAAGCTCGGTTTGGCTGCAGGCTCTGCCCATACCAACCATTGCTGTCGTCGAAGGAGCAGCTTTGGGTGGAGGTTTGGAACTAGCACTCGCTTGCGACATCAGAGTCTGTGGTATGTTGAATATCCTATGCTCTTACTGCCTCTCAAGGATAACTGGCTTAAAAGCTGACCACGACCAGTACACTCTGAATACGTATCTATTCTAAGCTGCACATGTACTTTCATCATTCCAAGTGCATTAATTCAGTAGAGCATGACTCGGTTGGGTACATCAACCTGCTTTTAGATCTAGTTCTCTGTGATCGGAGGATTTGAGTTGACCCATATTATTGTGATTTTTTTGTGCTCGTTTCTTATAGACAATTCTGGATCTTGTCCATAAGCGTGTTCACTTTTCTTCAGGCGTAGATTAGTCAACGCACATGTAGTCTTAGCGCTCATTATCTGGATGTTCAGGTGATGAAGCTGTATTTGGTTTGCCAGAAACAAGTCTAGCAATAATTCCTGGGTAAGTTCACCCGCTGTGTGGTTCACGCTTCATTTCTACAGCGGTTTCATGGAAGCCTATAAGGGAGATAATTTTGTAATTATGTAGGGAGCTTGGCCCACTGTCGTACACGTTCTGACCAAGGCTGCTCACTTACAGCGGATCTGCTGCAGGGCCGGTGGAACCCAGAGACTTCCTCGAGTAATTGGTCGATCTCGAGCAAAAGAGCTAATCTTCACTGCTAGGAGAATTGATGCAGAGCGTGCAGAAACCATCGGTATCTTATGAAACTCAAATTTATTTTGAGTGTTTTATTTGCAGCTACCGATTTAGGAAACTGATGATGTACTTGGCGTACAAATTAATGTGTTGGTCTGTTCGGAATGTTCAGGACTGGTAGACCATTGTGTTCAGGCCGGACAAGCGTACGACAAAGCCATGGGTATCGCTCGAGAGATTCTTGCTCAGGTAATTCTTCCATAAGCTTCACCCCTTAGTGTATTGAACATTGTAACTTGATCGAACGCAATGCGCATAAACTTCAAATTAGTTACTTGTTACTATACGTAGTGATGCATCGTGGTTCATGGACGTCATTGGGTTGATGTATCTGCTCAGGGTCCGTTAGCAGTTCAAGTGGCAAAACATGCTATCGATCATGGGAGCGAAATGGATCAAGCCAAGGGCATGCTTTTCGAAGAGGCTTGCTATTCTAGATTACTCAATTCCAGGGATCGACTGGAGGGGCTGACCGCATTTGCCGAAAAAAGGAAACCTGTCTACCATGGAGAGTAAAGACATGCAGAAGCACCCAACCATCCACAGATTCTCCTGATCATAAACATGTGGGTTAGGAGCTCCCGGTAGAAGCCACATGAGAAGTTCAGAGCAAGTATGGAACCTGACACACCTATCCCTGTTTGACCGAGAGCAAAGTCAGGTCAAGTCGCTCGCATAAGCGGCTTTCAGCGTTGTGCACAATTTCCTGAAAGGAGTCAACCCATTCTGCATTTCCGTCCCTTGAAATGCTGGAAGAGGCGAGCCAAATGCTACTCATCATGCGAGTGTAGCATATAGTTCCTAGGTACACTTATTATCCCAATCTGAAATGTAAATACGACTTAGTGATATTTCAGTATTGTATTCATTATGAACTGTCAGAAATGCTCAAACTTCAAGCCAGGGCAATTTTCAAATGCTGCGGACATCGAAAACTGCTCTTGTTTATAGTTTCAGTAGACTAGATATTTCCTTGTATTCCTGTCATACGTATGAGGCAGTAGGTGATTTTTATATCGGACTTCAGGCAAAAACTGCCTCTTAACGTTGATCATCTAATCTCGAAGCAGAAAATGTCAAAAGAAAACTTCAACCATAAAACTAGTCCACCTTCTGAACAGAGTAGATCAATGAGAGGGGTTATTATGAAGGAGAATTGAAGGGCACTGAGTTGCCTGAACGAACTGATTAGATTGCTCTCATGACTTGGATTGAATGTCTCTCATCTGGAAGGTGAAGTCAAGTGAAGTTGTCCTGTTCTTAAAACTACGCAAAGCTTTTCCGGCAGCGTTTTTGAGTGTGCCCGAACAGAAGGCTACTAAAAGGCCTTCCGTCCTGGAGAGCCGGCGCTTTCCTGAATGACACACAGGACTACAAACCATGAAGGATTGTGGCTGACTCTCTGTCTAATCATCGAACTACCAACCAGCGTGAAGGGAAACGTTTATGTGCTTCATAGTGAACTCTATCACCACTGAGGTTACAAATTATAAGCGAAGAAAAGTTGCGAACACAAATAGGAACGTACATGTGCTTTGTACATATATTTAGACGTTGGTTCGATGGACAGTCAGTGATTTGATACGCAATAAGTTAGCAATCTCCTTAACCTTTGGTCCCAGGCTGCTGTGATTTGTTGCTGTCAGACTCATCCCAGTGGCTACTTCAGCCTCATGATGCTCCTCCAGATTGTTCATCTACACACAAGCTGACTTGTATCACTGGGAAGATTCACTTTATTCGCAGTATGTATGTATGCCTTCTAATGTGGAAATGCATCTTCGGAGGGTGTGACCATGATGCAGATGCTCGTATCAGGCGCTTCCACGAATTTATCTTAGCAGTAATCATCTGGCTGATTTTCGGAGGAAAACCAGGTCCTTAAATGAACTCAAGCCATTTGTGATATGATGAAGAGATTTGATCAATGCGGAAACTGACAATCCTTAGCAATATTCTTATCTTCCATTCAAGGTTATATTATTTTCAAGATCATCGCATTGCCCATAACATCTTCAATCTAAATAATATTAATTTTAAGAATGGAGGAACTAAATAATATAAATTGTAGGTTTTTTAAAATTTGATTTGATGGTTTCTCTACTACTTTTATTTATTTTATGATTATCTTGAGTATCATTCATCATAACTTGTAATTCCAATTACTCATATCCAGTAATCTATTCCATTTTTACCAGAACTTTTTCTTGTATCACATCATAAAAATTGTTAAAATACATCTCATTTTCAATATCATCCATGAGTGAAAATTTGACCTTGTTCATAAATAGAATATAAAAATGCTACTACTCTTTCAATGATATTGATTAATCTAAAGAAACTATAATTAACAAAATAATTATACATTACATGATTACATAATTTATGACTCTTCACACCATACACATATCTAAAAAATTTAACTTTTCTTGAATCTATGATTCAACTTGGCTCTATATATCTTCAATATGAAATTTTAAATTGTACAATAAAAATTTTAATATTATTATAATCAATCATCATTTTGTGATTCAATTCAAAGAACTTCAAAAAAATGATTACACTATAATGAAAATAAATGACCAAATTCTCTAAATATTAATATATTCAATTCAAAATTTTTATGTTAAACCAAATTGTTTCAAAATACTATGCAACTTCTCCAACATTGTTTTGTTGAATGTCTCATAAACAACTTTTTGTTATGGAATATATATACCTTGATGATACAATGATTGAATCTCTACTCTTTGATTGCAAAATCTCAACTTACTTCAACTATTTTCGTATACATGAATATCTCATGAATGCTTTATGTGTATAGTGTGTGCATCAAATTGAACAACAACTTGAACACACTACTTTCAAAAGTTGTAAATTTTGTATAGTTTGTTTAAAAAACTTAATATACACAAATCCTAAATAAATCTCATAAACGATTCAATTGTATAACTTTTCAGATATTAAATCTAAAAAAGAAAGATCAAACTACACCAGGTATATCTAAATGATTTTTTTGAAAGAGTGTGAAATCAACATCAAAATGTTCACTATAATGTTCACTTGTAAATCAATGTTTACAAAAGTTGTGATAATATGTATAGATCTTTATGTCTTCTTAGCATAAATTTATCATATAATATAAACTCAAATTATTTCTTACTAGAGCTTTATATTTATTAATTTCAACCTAATATAATCACATAATTTAACCTTGAGCATTTACTTACTAGTGTTCCAATCAAGAACTTTTGAATGTAATATTGTAAGAAATATAAGATTCAATTTCATACAATGTTTGATTTGATATGAATCTATATTTAATTCCATCAAAAATTAGAATTTTAAAAATCTAATGATTGTATTTTTATAAACTTGATTATTATAAGGCATCCGCTAGTCACCATTCACTTTTTGCTATTCACCACTCACCCCCAATCTTGCCAATCAGAGTGTGGGAAACAACACTGTGTGAATGAGGTATAACTCATTCAAGCCTCGTTGGTGTTGCTCTTCGTCCAATGGTGTTTTGTATCCAATCAATCAGAGTGCGAGAAAATTGCGCAAAGGTTCTTTAAAATTGAAAGTGAATGATGAATAGCAAAAAGTGAGTGGTGACTAGCAGCTCCCTATTATATGAATTGAACATTTTTTTACAAAATAATAACATATTGTAAAAAACTGCTCATTGTACTCCAAACCGTTTGCCAAGTGTTTGACGCAATTCATGATCGGCAAACCTGTGTTCTCAAATCCTACACTACGGAAGTATGAAAATGTCGTCGTAGACTACATCATCAGCGGTGATGTAACCCTAGGCACTTACGGTTGCGATTGATGGATATGAATAAAGCTCACTAATGAATATGAGTCACGGTCAAGGCAAACGATCATGAGACAAATTACAAAGTTTTACTGCATCTTGTTGTACTTCCTTGGATTGTTTTTTGCAAATTGAGCATCGTCATCTTTCTTACATTAGATAGTTGATTGAATTGAAACTCAAGAGCTTCTATGTGATCATCGCACATTAGGTTGACATTGAAGCGCTTTCATCAAAGAGTACTTTACTGATGATTCTTGATGTAACTTGCGGCATCGGTCTACGCGTCAAAACTGACCTTTTTGAACACCTAAAGGGTATGAGCATCAGCATCTTTACGCGATTGTTATACGTGGTTAGCAACAATGACTCCAACGTTGTCGTTGCAGTAAAGTGTCTTTCCTAGTTGATCAATGCATCAATTGGGTATGAATAGATGTCCAATTGCAATCACGTGCGTTGCATCGATTATTTAATTCAACTTGCTGTTGTCAAAGTCCTTAGTTTCACAAAAATTTCAATAGAGACATTGCACAATGCGTTTGTCGCAGCAAGGTGATGTGAGGGAAGTATCTCTTAGAGGCCGTGACTGCCAGCTTCAACGGCAAAGAACTGACATCATGATTCTCCAACGCTTTGACATTTCACGCATCAGATGGGAATCAACACTTTTGATAAACATGTTTTCATAAACAATATCATGAAGCAATTCACAAGTAATATCGGTCGCTCTCCTATCAGTGATGACCAATGGCAAGCGATCAACGGTGTGACTACCTTTCTGCACGCATCGTGTCAGGTAATGCAGATTTTTGTCGCTGATCACAAGCATATGTTTCACCTGCTATGCATTGCTCATCTTGTGAAGCATTGCAAAATGAATGAGATGTAGCTATTGGCGATCACTCTCGAAATTACAGTATCAGCAATGTGAGAATAGATTAAAGAATATAAAAAATTGCTGGTAATAGAATCCGTCATAGTAGTAGGTTAATTCAACTCGCAGATATCAAAACCATCTAATCTTATGCAACTAAAGAAGTTGACAAATTTGATTCGATCCACTCTTTACCGCCGCTACTTGGCCAAGTTGCAATCTCGCAATTCGATTGTTGAGCCCGAAGAGCTGATCAATACGTTTTTCACAGCCATGGTTTAGCCAAAGGCCAATAATAGCATGCTTGATGAGATAGATCAAATTCTATCAATCTACTTAATCAAGTGTAAGTATTTTATTGACATATTGTCTTGATAGTTAGGCTGCATTAAAATCTAGTCTGCCGTGTAACACCGAATGTTGTATGTGTGAAATAGAACTAGAAATAACCAAGGAGTTAATCATGGTTAGTTTAGTCATGACTAAGTGTAGCTAATTATAACTAAGTTTATCAAGTTATAATCATATCTAGCTATAATGTACATACTTGGTAGAATAACTAAAGAAGTTCTAGAAGATTTGAATGATCACTTCTATTTTGTCTTGTACAAAAGTTTAAATTCCAAGAGAAAATACTTTTGAGTTCATGTTTGGTTTTGATTAGTTTGACTAAGTAATGGGTATTTCATTGGTGAGACTAAATCTAATGTTGACTTAATGTCAAGTGAAATTTCTAGAAGTTGGAAATGCATAAATGACATGTTGTCATCTAATTCTATGAATTAACAAACATCTAGAAGGTTTAGGAAACCAATGACATGTTGTCATGTATTGATAACTAATCAAACTTACTATGGTTTATATTTGTAGAAGTAAGTTAGATAAAAATTTCCAGTTTTTACTATGATAAATTCTCAAGATATATATATATATATGAAGAGATTCTCAAATAAATTTAGAGAGTTCATGTGTATAGACTTGTTTCATATTTGAAAGAGTGACATTTTTTAGCATCTTGGAGTGTCAATGTGTGTGTGAATTAGAGTGATGAATTGAGAAAATGTGTGAGAGTATGTTTGGAATATGAGTATGAGGAACAATATTAGTCTTCTAGAACCATGATGAGCTATTGCAAAACCATCTAAGATAAAACTCAATGAAAGTCATTTCAAAGGTTGCATTTTTTGTTCCATTGTTGGGGGCTCAATCTAGAAGACAAAATGTTTACGATTTGGTTTTTAGCTTGAGAGAAAATATTCATGAGAGGTCACTTCGAGTTAACACTGGAGAATGAAAGAGAGAATAGCATGCTTGAAAGTGAAGTACATTTTGTTTATCCGTTAATCTCGTACAAAACACTAGAAGTGATTTTGATGTTTTGATGTTTTGAGTCATTTTGAGAGAAAAATGGTATTAGGGACCAAAAAACATGTTATGAAAGCTATCTCAAAACTTTTTATTGATTGTAGAGTGGAACCTAAGGTATGTTCCTAGATCATATGTATATAGAAAGTTATAAGTGTTGGAAGTTGAAGGAATTTTGAGGGGTATCAAAAGATACCTCTCATGAAAATTTGTATAGAGTTAATTACTTTTTTGGTTTTTGAATTTAGCCTTTGAAACTTTGTACAAGTGTGTATTGGGAGATAATCTATGTGTCAACTAAACGATGGAAGACTCTAGCGAAACTCAAGATTGATGTAGTACAGTTATAAGAAAAGAGTACTCAAAATGTAGGGGTTTAAGGGTCCTAAACCCTAAACTCTATGAGGTATAGACATCATATTCTAAGAGGAAATCCACCTTTATGAAACTTTGCGGTTCTTGTTTTACTCGTAGAGTTCTTCATTTTTAATGAAATTGTTCTAACCATGAGCAACATGATGGAGTCCGGCAAAACAACAACGCACCAATCACTTAACAAGTCTAGGATAAGATCGGAGTAGTTCTCAGTGGGTTAATGTGTTCCTTCATCAATATGTAAGCATCGATTAATGTGTTCCTTTATCAATGCACTTTTGAAAAGTAATAAAGCTCCAAAGCGAAGATGGATATTCTTGCCAAAAAAGAAAAAACGTGCAAGATTAGCGGACTAGTACATCTTCATGGAAGTCGGAGTACACAGTTGAGTGGAATGAGCTTGTCGCGAGTACAAAGGAAAAATTTGGAATGGATGAATTTCCCATTTTGTCTTCTCAAGCCAAGTACAACGTGGTGGAGTATGTAAGAAATCAGAAGACCAATATAATAGTTGGCCAGCTGATTGTATTGAATCCAACCATATGAAATAAGTTGTGAGAACACCTTAGCTCCACAAGAATCAAGAAGCAGAGATCCAAAGGGATGGCTCATATGACAATTGTGGGAGTTGGCGTGATGGATGCTGATGCTTCGAAGGTATGTACACATGCTTCAAAGATCAAAGTGAGGATCGATGGACATAATATATCAGACGTGCTTGTACATGATGGCTCTGTTGTAAATGCGATGTCTGAAAGATTGTTGATGAAGTTGGAGTGCGAATTTCTAAACCTTCTAGTATAATTGTTAGTATGGCCAACAAACACAAGGTAAGACCATTTGGTGTGGTTGGCAAAGTTGTGGTGAATGTAAGGGTAGTTCAAACCTTGCTTTCTTTCCAAGTACTTAAGAAAACTAGTTACAATTTGTTATTTGGACGTACTTGGTTGAGGATGGTGAGGACCACTGATTGATCACACAATGCTACATGCGTATAGGATCAAAGAACCCTTGAGTGAAAATTTTTCTAACAAGAGGAGAAAATTCCACTATCGACTAAAGATAAAAATATAGTTATATTGAAGTGAACTATATATAGTTGTCACATAAATGGTCCGAATGCTTTGTAGATAAAGAATTAGTATGTTAGTTGATAACAAGTGAACAATCAATGTGTTTATTAGAAAAGGATTGATTGTCTCAATTTGTGTATTAGTTAAGAGTAACACATATGCAATCTGTGTGTTTGTTACGATTATCCGCAATGTTATCAATAAACTAAGAATTATATTCTTTTCTTGTACTTGTTGATTATATATGTTTAAGGGTTAGTAAAACCAAACTAGATATCTTTCATCTTCAGAATTGTGTTTTATGTTCAAGTGAGTTTTTCTCTTGTAACTAATTATACATTTGCAGGTTTAACAAACTTCTAATGAAAATGATGCAATGGAAATAATGAAAAGATTTACATCCATGCACAAGCTACGACATGATTTTTGTTAATTTATAAATATCAAAAGCTCATAAAACAGAAGTGAAGAAATACACGATTCAAAATCAATCTTGTTTAACTATAACAAACGTAATATTTTAATGGAACAAAAATTATAATTGAAAGTATATCTCAAATCAAATTAGAAAGAAGATTGAAATAAATTTAATTTAAAATAAAATCTTATTTCATGAAAGCAAGAGCAAGATACAACTAATATTAACAAGATTGATGGACAAAAGTTCCAAAACTCTCTATATATACTTTAACTCTACTAGAATTCTTAATCATCTAGAAGATGTTATTTGGTTGTCAAATCATCATTACTCTAAAGTTGATTGTGTATGTCAAGTCCATTACGATATGCATTATTAATCAAATTCGTTAGTCCACAAATAAAACGGAATTATCAAACAAAATTTACAATAATGGATTTATATAGCAAATATGACCATGTTGTGATAAATTAAAATCTCATCTATCCAACTCTCATACTAAACCTGCTACTACTTTGCCTACTAAGACTTAAATCACTTTTATAATATAATCTTCAAATTCATTTGTGCACTCAATTTTCCAAAAATTGAAAAACATTCAAATGATATTTTTCAAAACATTCGTTTAGTGACTAAAAATCGCAATTAACTAAAGGAGTAAGTTTTGTGCTCTAATTCTATTTTTTTGCCCTTTGAATTTAAAAGAACATAACATCTTGCATCAACGTGATACTTCAATGAAATTTTAGCCATCGCGTAGTTTAGCTTCTAGTCTAAAATCGTGCAAAATTTTTTAAAAAATAAAAAATTAGAGAATAAATAACCAATTCTGTACACATTTTCCAAGAGCTTATCTTGGTACCCATCAAAACTCCTTGTAAGTTCTTACACATTACTTAGGCTACACATAAGATCTGAATTTAAAATAAAAATTGAAACATATCTCATTTTTCACTCAACAATAATTAAAATTATTGCAAAATACTTTCACAAAAAAATGGATACTTCATAAAATAATTTAACTCAGTTGATATTGGCGAAACAAATTCTCACACAATGAACTCTCAAAACTTGTTTGAGAGTCTATTCTCTGACTTTTTACTTACACTATTTGAGAAATTACTATAATAATACATGGTAATTAAATTTTAAGTTATTTTAACTAATATAAATTTAAATGTATTTTTATTAATTCTCAATACACGACAACATGCCATTGATTTACTTAATCTTTTTATAAGCTTCCTTGCCCTAGGTTGAAATGATAACATGCTATTCCAAAGTTCTAAAAATTCCACTTGTCACTATGTAACCTTTAAAATTAGTCTAATCAATAAAATTTATTTTATTGAATCAAATCAATAGTCAAAATAATATTTTTTTGTAATCTAAACTTTTGTAATAGACAAAATAATAAAGTTCATTTAATCTTCTAGAATTTCCATAATTATTTTGCGTTGTATAGACATCATATATAGATAAATTTAATCATAACTTAAAAAATTTAGTTATGACTAATTAGACTTAGTAATAACTATTTAGAGTTAACTATATCTTAACTACCCATGATTCTTTCATTGTATTTAATATTACTTTGAACATATAACAATCGAGTTTAACTCTCGACGATAAACCTTAAGACCATTCCATAGTCTGTTAATTCTAACATGATCAATAATCAATGTAACAAATAGTATGTGAATCGTAATCTTATTAACATTATTATATTATGGTAGTTGACCTAGTCGTACTAAGCATAGTCATACTAACACATGGATTGACTTTCATCCAAAAATGAGATGGAAGATCACATTTTTGCAAATAAATTTATATTATTCACTTAAATCTACCATGGAGGTGATCAAGATAGAAAAAAATCAATTAATGCTTTAGTCTTGTATATCTTAGGTCAAACTTCACTAGTCAATAGTCTCTAATATTCATGTCATATCTTGTTCAAATAATAAGAATGTATGAAGTACCAAGGGTCGCTAAACACGATTGCAGTACACTTTGACAAATCCAAAAGCATAATTTTTAGAACCACAATACACTTCAAAAACCGAAAGCCAAACCACCATTGCCGTACACCGACTTCAAAACTCTCAATTGTGTCCGTATTCTAAACTATGTCAACATATCTAAAACTTCGAAGAAAAAAAATGTAGGTACAAACTTTTCAACCCGTTAGAGGAAGGAGGGGAGGCTTACTCTCATAGGATAAAGCTCCAACGTTTGAATTGCTTCCCTTTTGTCATGTCTTACTCAGACTACAACTCCTTTTCGTACCCGTTGTCACTACTTCCCATGGGATTGCGAGCCATCTTGAAGGCATCAGTTCTTGGCCAGTTCAGCTTCGAGGAGAAGACGACCAGTGCCCACCTTCGACAACCCGTTCGGGAGACAACTCGCAACAGCAGGAGCTTCTGGGCCCCATGCATGGAGTGATCAACTCTTGCGAGCCAAAGCTGCACGGACGAGTGTACCTCTTGGGGCGACATCAATCATTCGATCAATGCACTGCGAGAAAGAGATGGATTATGAAGACAAGTGTAAGTTGCACATGAGGCCAGAGCAGATAAAAGAATAGTAAAGACCACGATGACCGTTTCATGACGAGAACTCTCAAAGTGATGTTGCATTAGCACGACCACAGTTCTGAGATGAGCGAATGTAGCAAGCAAGAGCACTGAATCTCCGTCCTTCCTCCTACCATGACCTTCCTAGAGAACGAGGCCTCCTGCATGAGTGATATGGGAGATATATTGACAAGTGTGGCCGCTCCTGTTGGATATTGATCCTAAAGTAAAAATAGGTTGACCCCACTGTCATCATTGCCGTCTACTCTACAAGAAGAAATTGCTGCTGCCATGGCAGTTGTCTTCGCTTGATGATCCATTCTGTCCGCGACAACTGGATAAGGCATATGTCACGATCGTATCTCAGTGATGCAAGTATGGTCCAAGGACCCATACATTGTTTAAATTCAATTTTCATTGTTAGCATATGTTTCGAACACAGTGAAAAATAGACGAAGTGAAAAGAAGGCTCGAAAATGTCTCGAGATCTGTCTTTATGTATTCAAAGAGAATGGTATCGGCAGACCAGGAAGATTGTTCCTGAATGTTACATGACATGGGAGAAGGAACCTTGTACGGTTTTGATCATGGTCATTAAGCATATCCCCAGGCTACAGGAAGGCTATCTATAATACTGGTACCCTTGGCTGAAGGAAGACTTTGGCTTGAGCTTTGAGCTCAAATTAAAATTTATCTTGTAATCATCAGATAATGTGTCTTCAGCTTGAAGCCATGAACTGAATGTGTAAAAACGCAGAACACTAGCTCCTTCGTAGGAGAAGAACATCCACTTGCAGTTTATATCATATGATATCATATCAGGCATGATATAAGTATATACATAACAAATATGCCAAAGTGTATGCTATGTATGGTTACATGGTATGTTAAGTCTACCTCTATCGCTGCCTGGAAAGTAACTGGATCTAAGGTTCGATTCGGTAACTTCAGTGTCGAGTAGACATCCATCACAACAACTTTGTGTGGCTATGATGACAGAGCATGACCGGACAAAGAGGAGTTTGCGTACCTAAGACCATTTGTTCCTGAGCTAATTTAAGAATAAATTAATTGATGAAGTTGGCTCTACCATGTGGAAGGTGAGCGTAATTTGTAATGTCCAAGTTAAGAAGAACTACAAGGTGCTTTTGTGTTGACCCAACGTACAAACGTTTGACTCCCAGATAAAAGTATTATCAGTTGACAACATACGAGCTGACTGTGTGACACTGTCGTTTGACAAACATAAAAATGCGATATTTGAACACAGTGAGAAATGCACATATCCGGCGATCGTGCGGTGTGACCGAATCGTCTTACCTGTCAAACTTTGACAAGTCAAATGGGACTGCCAGCCTCATCTCCCACCGAATTTGGCAAATTTGATAGCCCAGTTGCAGAGGTCAGATCTGGACAATCCTCCACATTGCAGACAATGCAGAGCAATGGCAATAATCTGCAGGAACATTTTCCCTTTCGGAAGAACCTTCGTTACGCTAGGGAGTGAAAGATCTTATACCCTTGAGTTGGGGCGCTCCCTCGTCAGAGTCATCACCAGCAGCACTGTCCTGCAAGTTGATCATGATCATCCTCAGTGTTTGACAATTACTCCCGGATCGTGCTATGATCAAACTCATTCTCTATATTAATTGATCTTTCTTGGTACCCAATTTCTTTCTATATCGTGTAATAGTATGAATCATACAAGTTATCTACCTAAGTGTTGGGAGTTTTGTTCATGCTCATCACATTAATTAAGAATTTCAAACAAATCACATCAATCACTCTAGCTGAACAGAAGTTAGGACCGGAGCTGGAGCTAAGGTAAAAGACAAAACTCGCCAAACTAACAACCAAAGTGGTTGTTTTGTTACAACAAATTATGGCTTCTTATTATGTTTGGAATTTCCTTATACATCAAGTTTTTATTGAAACTCGAGATTATCTTCATGGTCTATGCTTGTATTTTCGAAACTTTTAGGCTCTCAAACATTTCAGTTCATGTCATTGGCCAACGTTGGGTTATAACTTCAAGAGTGCCAGAAAGTACAAGTGTGGACGTTGTCATGTTCGACTGGTGCAATACGGCGGAATCTCAGCAATGATCCTACTAAAAGGTAAGGAAAAACACAAAGTCCACACGAAGAAATATTCTAATCCTTTGTCTTGGGGGGTCAACCGTATGTAGTGCGTTGCGAGACCTGTTTGTCTGTACACTGCTGTATCAGCGTTCAGCATGTCTCGCATCTGCCAAATCGAATCAGATGTTGACACAGACGGATACTCCGACTTAGAACCTCAAACTGTAACCTGGAGGTGTGTTCTGGAGGCGCCACAGGACGTCTACTAGGCAGTAGCACCATGTCTGGGCCCCTACTGCACTGTACAAGTACCTCTTGTCCTCTTGCGGCTAGTCTACTACTCACACATTCAGCGGTATGACCCAATGTCGATTAGATCAGGAGTTGACAAGGGCAGCACTCAAAGCCGCCGAGTGCGATCTTATAAAAAGCCCTACAGTGTGGAAACACTGTAGGGTTTCCACAGTCTGGACAATCCATGGCTTTCTGGGATGTACCACAACCTTGAGATTTAGCAGATCTCCTTCCTTTGAGATCATCTCTTTCACTTCGTTCCATTTCTGCTTTATCCATCCATCTCATGTTAAATCGCGCATGACGAGTTCCAGTTTTGCACAAGAATCTACAAGGCATGATATGAAATTTGTGGTAAAGCTAGATTCAACGACAACCCTTTTATGGCTCATGCCAGCAGACGTTATACATTAACGTTAGTATTGACTAATCCCGCTTCTAGAATCACTTCTGTATCTTCCATAACAGTGCTCAGATAGCTGGGGTGTAAGTAGAGGCAAAATACAGAACACCATTACAGAAGGAAACGTGCTGTAAATTAAGTTTTATTCAATATAGTCGGAAAATATATGCACATGTTTTACATGTCTCATCAGCTCATTCGAGGGACTTCAGCACGATAATTATACTTCGCCTACATATGAAGTATGTCTTTTTCAAGCCTTTTGTGACCAAGGTCCGACCAGAAAGTCATCCTAGAAAACGAATATCACGATGAAAGTTAAATATTGTTTTGGAGCAAAATGGAGCCGAGTTGCGACGACTTTTACCTGAGGATCTGACAGGAGGTTTGATTTTTGCCTTGACACAAGGTAGCCGAGCTCCTCAATAGACAACCGTCGCCAGCCCACTCGAGCGGGCAAAGAACATGACACAAGACGATGAAAGCTTGTGTGAGCTGTTTACTTACATAGCAAGAGACATGTCACGAATGTGAATCCCCAATGGACACCCTCTCCAGCCCGCCAATTATTTCACTATTGCGTTGACATTGGAGAAGGGGAATGTTGAGAATGCTTCACAAGTTCTACGCAGCCACCGGAATAGTTCATGCCAGTTGCCAATCTTCATGACGAGCAGCTTGACTTCTCTAAGGGCGAAGACTTACATAAGGAAGAGGCGACTGATTTTCACGCGCTAAAATTTGATTCGAAGTCATGCACAGCAACCGGGATGGATACTTTCGTTGGTCTTATAACTGGCATGAGCCAAAGACATAGCATTCAAACTTGGAGCTATTGAAACTTTGGGCTGATGTAGAAATCACAAGTTTACACCCTTCAATGAAAATATCTCATGCTTGCATGTTTCGACTCACAATGCTTAAGCATACTCATCAGTCTAATCTTAGATGTTTGAATGTTCACATAGGATGTTTCGATATTTCCTATCGTCTTTGATGATAAACAATGAAGAATGAAAAAGAACTGAAATCCACGCAAGTTCGAGTTTAACTAAGGCATAGCGAGCAAAGCTGTATATTCAATTTTATCTTCTATCTCGTTTATCCAAAGATGAACCATGCTAACCTGGAGCCATCACATCTTTGAGTAGATATAGAGATCACAATTGCTTAATCGCAAACTATGAGCTGAATTTCCTGCATGATTCTATGAGCTAAACGTACCCGTTACAGCTTGTAAAAGACGGAAATTTCTTAATGCAATGAATGCTTACATTGCAGCTGCCGACATTTGCTTCCGTATCTGTATTGACAATCAGTCAAGAAATACCGAAGATAAGATATACCCATTCTACGTTCCGCCTATAAAGGTATGAGACGAAACGAAACCCGCATAGGTTAAAAGAATAATAGAGAGGTGGGCGGGCCGTGTAGGGGGGCTTTAAAAACTTATCTTCCAGCTTTTTGATATCTACGAAGTTAAAAGAACTGCACATGTTCGAGCTTTTTCCATATCCACCAGAAAGCCTGATGGAATTCAAATTCCAGGAGGATATCCGCGAGATATCCAAAGCGAACGTCTTTTGTTTGCTTCATTTAAGAAGCACAGTGGCCAACAAGATTCAAAAGAAAACGGAAGAGTTATAACGGTCCTTGGAGCAGGCACAGCCCAGTATCTTAATGAATATGTGTCGTAGAGTATGCAGGGGTGCCATACCCGTGAGGCAGAATACCAAAGCATAATCGAATCTGAGCAACGAGAAGATTGATTTGGAGGAAGACGACAAGAGAAGAACAAGAGCTTATGACAGAGCCAGATACTGTAAGATGGGCGCATCCAAGCAGACGAGACGAGACACAGCCACTAGACATTTGACTGTTGGCTTCACAGCTCTGCTTCACGGCCGAAGGCTGTAGGTCGCCATCGACATCTGTTACTCTCACCTCCGCGTTGCCGGTCTACCTCTCGCCCTGTTCCATGCTCCACGACCGGCTCAATGCCGGACCCTTTTTCCTTCATTCGTATCAGCTCCATACCCGTCACTCCAGCACCTCAGGTTCTTAACCATGGTCCATGTCGGACACGTGTTCTTATCGATGAACCCAAACAGCTCGTGACGGATGTAGTTTTCTTATGCGAAAGTTCACATTTGGTTGGAACGGCTCTCTTCGAAATCGAAATCGCGCACTCTTCTAGAAGTGGCTGATGTGGACAAAACACAAGTCTGCGAAGCAGAGAGAACCAGAGTGCAAGTAATGGGGCACCTTGCGGAAGGTCTTTGATAGCATCTGCAATAAGAGGCTTGTTGTAGCGACACGTCCTGCAGCAAAGAGCTGGAGCACAATCGCACCAACCTTGGGTGAAATGTGTCTTTGCAGGAGTCAAGTTCGAGCGCAGTTCAGGAGACCTTGACGTATCGAGTCGCCCGACCACCTTTCGGCTCACATCATGTGCTGTGAGCAGAAAAGTCCCTCGAGGTGAGTTTACCGGGCAGAATTTTTTGAAGACTCATGATGATCCGGACACTCTCACACATCGACCCCTAGACTCCTCGGAAATTCCATCATGGAGGGTGATTTCTTGGACATCCGGATCCAAGGACGATCTGGGAGAGTCGCCAGCAATGATGGTAACACCGACCACGCTTGGTAGCAAACTCCCTCCCATTCCCGACTCAACTAACCAACCGACCACGGAACTTTAAAACAAGCTCACCTTGCACCCATCGTCCGTCTCGGCAAGCCTTCATGACATGTAGCTTTAGGAAGTTTACCCTACAAATCGACCAAACGTAGAGGAAGATATCCCCCAAAAGTGCAGAGAAAATGAACAGGCAGATCCCTGCTCATGCTCTAAAAGGGAAGCTATCCCCGCATCGGTGTTCCTAGTGCTAGCGTGGCATTAAAAACCCCTAGGCCATCGTCAATAAGATGTGATTGCTACGAGGGCGAAATTCACAACCTCGTGCGTCGGAATCAAGAAGGAGGATTTACGTCACCTGCATGAGAAGGGGAAAATCGTCACCCCCGGCGAGGATGGTGGAAGAAATAAAACTCCGGATAGGATAGGGGTCGGGTAACGGACACCACGAGAAAGAAAGAGGGAGGGCAGGAAGAAGATGCCGATTCGGACGGAAAGCGACTAACGATATTCCTCGAGCTGCGTCGCCACCACATGCGCAGGCGCGAAGTTGTTGCTGCTGCGATCGAATGCGATCCGATCGATCGATCGATCGATCGAGCTGCTCGAGAGTTGGTGCCACCTTGCGCTCTTCGAATCATTAACGTCTCTGCCGCTGAAAGCGCCACAAGAACTCAACCCCCGCCCGGTACGTCCGATCAATCTGGTCCGTCCGTTCGCGCATCTCCTTTCTGCACGGTCTGGAAAATCGAGAACAATATGGAATTGAGCGCGTGATCGAAGACCCATTTAGTCGGCCGACGGGTAGGCTGGTGCTAGTATCACCTCGGAATAGAATATCTGTTCTATTGCAATTGAGATAGGAAAGTTATATGTATTTAATCGGATGAGAAAAATCTTGTACCATCTGATAATTATTTTGCTGTAAGTTGTGAGAAGCAGTATTAATCCATAATTATATATAACAGAAATCATAACGTGGTTGTATTTCCCTATAAGTAATTACTCTTCCTGAAATATATCATATATGAAACTATGATAGAAAAGCATTAATTTTTCTCTTATGGTATGCTTGCATTCATGATAATGTCAAAGTGCGTTCCGACATGACCCCACTAAGAAATTATGTGAATTTCTTGCTTACTCCTATAGGGCCACCAACGCCACCCAGTACGAAAAAAGTCATTCAATCCCTAATTGTATCACCTGTAATATTTGTTACCATAAAAAGTATATGTTCATGATGAACCGAGCAATAATGTGCCTTGGACTAACTATGCCCTACTCGAGTCCAAAACAATGCGCACTATTCTTCCCTCCTCAGTAGATTTCGTATCTGGGAATCGCTCTATTCGAAGAGCAATTCTCTGTGTTGGGGGCGAAAAGTCTAGAAAATAATTTGCATTGCGATTATTACAATCCTCTCTTTGCAAGTGACCTTCGTCTCTACAAGCGCCGTTCGTCTCCACGGTGAACACAACATGGGTTACCTCCGCGTCCAATTTATGGGTTACCGGGACCCCCGGTCGGGTTGGAACCCGGGTCCAAACTCGCGGGCTCGGGGACCATTCAATGCACTTCCGTTCGATGGGACAAGGAGGTGACCGTTGCGTTAAGGAAGATCCGGTACACGGCGCTCTCTGCAGCCATTGGCCCGCCGTGGAACGCTCGGAGATCCGATCATTCTTCTCTCCCCGTCACCGGCAAGTCGCCCCGAGGTCCGTGCCCCGGGTGCGGGCGGACCGGTGCGAGGTCAGGTCGGGGAGGGAAAGCGGGTGGAGCGGTGGGGGAGAAGGCCCGGACCGGGCGGGGCGGGGCCTGGCAGGGGCAGGGCAGGGGGGATGGCCTCGCTGGACGGAGGGGGACGCGTGGCGGAATGTCAACGAAGCGAAGGCGGAGCCGCCACCTTGCTGGGATCGGAGGCGAAGGGGAGCGGGGCGACTTTATGACCACCTTCGGCGATGCGAGCTCTCACATTCATTCCCCTGTCCATCCTCCGGGTACGCAAGAGCGCAGCACATTTCGGGAGCTGGAGTAAATGTTGCAGGATTTCGAGTCGGTCACTTTCTCGCCAGCCACGATTCAAATATCCATTGGACAGAGTCGTTCATCATCGACCCTTTGTCGGCCTCGAGTGATCGCCCTACCCCCGGCAGCGGGCTCGAGTGATGCGAGGAATTTCGACAATTCGCGAGCAGACACGAATGCGGAAGGCGCTGAGTAGTTGATAGGGCCCCCAGGTGCACTGATTGGCTCTCGAGGTGGTCTGCGACGCGCCATCTGACGCAGCAGGAGGAGAGAAGCGGAAATTTGCGTAGGAAGAAGAAAGCGTAGGACGAAGGAAGGAAGGAAGGAAGGAAGGAAGCGAGCGCGATCGGAGCGCGGGCAGAAAGGGAAGGAAGGGCATCATAAGAGCGCGATGGCGACTCCAGTGCTGAAGCGATCGAGCAGGATCAGCAAGTCTTGCAACATGAGCGCGAACATGGCGCACGGGGGCGGAAGCGGAGGAGGCAACAGCTGCAGCAGCAGCAGCAGCAGCAGCGGGGACGACGGCGCGACGGAGAGAGTCGAGTCGAGGCGATCCAAGAAGCAGCAATTTTTCTCGCGCGGATTGTCGCTGAGCAACTTCTCGCGGTCCTTCGTGACGCTGCAGACATCGCTGACCCGAATTGCGCACCTCTCCCCGCACTCGCACTCGCACTCGGCTCCCGCCTCGCCGCGCAGCGTCGACGCCTCGTCGGCCTGCTCCACGCCCTCGTCCGTGTGCTCGACCTCGTCCACCACCAGCTCGTCGTCGGGGGGCGCCTCCACGCCCACCACCGCCTCGACGCCCCGACGACCGCTCCTCCACCACGCCAAGAGACCGACCTGCGTCGTGTTCGGCCGGCGCCGCGGCCACAGCAAACGGTCCAAATCGCTGGTGGCGCGCGCCGTGGATGGCGCAACGGCCCTGGACGAGAGGAGGCCCGTGCTGCTGGAGAAGGTGCCGTCGGGCAAGTCGGCGGACGAGTACCTGACCGTGTACGTGGGCATCAAGAGGACGCAGCGGGTGAAGTACGTGATCAGCCGCGACCTTCTGTCGCACCAACTCTTCCAAGTGCTGATCAAGTGCAGCGAGGACGAATTCGGCCAGGACTACACCACCAAGGGCGGCATCGCCATCATCTGCGACCCGGCATTGTTCCTCCACATCGTCAAAGTGGTGGACGACTCTCTGCGAGCGACGGAGGCCCGCGCCGCCCACGACGCCGAGCTCGAAGAAAGCGCGTTCGACTCCGAGTGATTGAATGATTTGACACTCAATCAATCAGCTCGCGCATCACGGCGCCCGGTGGTGACGACCATGATGCCTGCCTGCCTGCGTGCTTGCTTGCATGCATGCCGATCACTTCTGCGAGTGCTACAATTTTGCTCTTCAGGCTGTACATACGACGGCTCTCTTTTTGCCCCTTCTCTCAATCTCCGCTCTCTCGAGCTTAGGACTCTGCAGCAGCAGCAGCGAGCAGCGAGCATCATGATTTGGAGTGATGCTCGCTGGTCAAAATTATGATGGTGTCTTCGTCTTCCTCCTCCTTCCTTCTTCTCCTTCACATCGATTCAACCTTTTTGTGAATCGACGACATCCATCCATCAATCAACCAACCAACCAATCACTGAATCACTCATTCACGGCTGGCGCCTGCAGTGGTTGAAGCTGCTGAGAGGCACCGGGAGATACACTTAACCTCAGATGCTCTCTAACTGAATTCGTTACTTCGATCGAGACGACGACGGATACCGTGTCCCATCGGCCTTTCGATGGGATCATCCGGTTGTACCATATAGGCTGGCGACGCAACGCAACCGCTCTCTGCACCACATGTACCGCAGGAGGAGGACACACGAGCCGACGTTGCGCGCAGTCGATTTCCCGCTGCCGCAGCCGGCCTCCGTGCCTCCGACATGTACATAAAGTCTTCTTGACACATACTTGTAATATTATCGATCCAAACATGAAATCGAAAGCTCCATCGGTTTTGATCTTGTCACCACTGAATCATCACTTGGCTCCCATTTTCAATGCAATGCAATTCTTGTATTGGTTTCGATTTCACCAGCGGTCTTTTCATAGTATTTGCCTTTTCGTTAACGCGAGTGATTGGACGAAAAGCATGTAATATTCCAGTACGGTTTTCAAAATATCGCTCTTACATGTCGTGAGAGTCATTCTCCTCTCGTTGTTTGTGAAGAAATGGCTGTGGATCAAAGGGAGCAAAAAGCACGAATCCGTTAAAGCCACGTGCGTCAGCGTCTGCGTCCTCTCTCGATCGTGGGCAGCGGAGGCCAAAACTCTGTCGATCTCGGGTAGAATGGAATTGCGCTGCAGAGGAAAGATGAGGCACTTCGAGACGAAATGACGAAATGTTCAATTTAGCCATTCATTATTGTCGTAAGCATTTGGCTCACGGGGGCGGATTGGATTTACAGACTTCGTTCCGCGCATGCATGCAACTTTCTGAACTTCCATCATAACGCACCCGCAGCAGCTGCGGCAGCATCGTGTGGCAGCTGCTTGCGGACCCGGCGACGATGCATGCACTGTCAAACGCCGAAAAGCCCAGGCAAGGAAAAGCTGCTTGCGTGCGTACATCGGCTGGCCGAGTTCCAACGCAGCAGCAGCAGTACCGGCTCATGTCGAGGAAGCCTTATGGATGATTATTTTGAGCTGCTGCCAGAAGTCCAATTTCAGGGATCTATCAGTTTCCAGCTACGGGCGCAACAGAAGCTCCAGGTGGGTGGGTGGCTGAGTGTTTGTGTGTTGTATGTGTGAGCTGATCCAGCAGAAGCAACAGGTTCAAGAGTCAGCACAATGACGTGATCCCATCCCTTACCAGCTGCTTGTGCCGCGGCTGGAACAGAAGGCTTAAGTGTAGGTATCCATCCAGCTAATGAAAGCCAGCGGAATGACGACGATCAGTGCATGGAATTTCGCAATTCCAGCTGCGTTCGCAGACGCAGCAGCAGAGTTGCCACTTCGCGTCGACCGCAGGACGGAGGCAGGGCAGGTGACAGCCTCCGATCCCAGTCATGCTGAGCCGATCGATGCGTGGAATGTCGAGGGCACTTGTAGATCCACAGAGAGCTCTTCGAAGGCGATGGATGGATACCCGCCGATGCGCTCACAGACGAACAGGTCCCAGCTGAGCACACAACGATTTCCATCTCACCGTGAGTCGTCACATCCTTTGACCACGAGAACAGCCTCCTGCTCCTCCCTCCCGTGCCCTTTGGGGTTGACCGACCGCATCACAGCATGGCGCCACGCCCGGCGGGAGCGGGTGTGGGCGACGCGTTCTTCGTCCCCTCTCGGCCGCCGTGACTGCCTCGCACCGGTCCGAGTTGACACTGCGCAATTCAATTCCACCAGCGCCCGCCCGCTGCTCGCTCGCCCACGCTGTTGCCGCTGTTGATGTACAGCGTCTCCACCGCGTTCTCCATCTTCTGCTCTGGTTTGATCCGATCTCCTTCACCTTCTGCCTTCTCCGTTCTTCGCGATGACATTCTCGGCCGAGTATTGCATGACGCGTTCGGGTCAACCGCAGAGCCTCGCTAGACGCATTCAGGGGCAACCAGAATGGCATGGCTGGCTCGCTGGCTGCTTGGGCAGGGCAGGGCAGGGGAGGGGAGGGCCGTGCTTGCTCTTGCCCATCTCTAATCTCAAAATTGGAAACTCGAATAAAACCAGCTTGCCTTTCAACGCGCAAGGCGCTTTTCAGCTTCTGTGAGTCAATTTCTCAAGAACACATATTCCTGCGTGACCTCAATGAGCTTACGCTCTCTACAGTTACAACTCGGTCCATTTGGTCCACTTGGTCCGAATTTCCTCTTCGTAATTCTCACCCTGAATCTTAAGCGCCTACTCCAGCTGACTCGTAGCGATCGTGAGCTGTTCCTTGTACGTCAACCCTAAAGATCCATCCGAGTCGAGTCCCATTCGCCACACAATGCGTTCTGTCTCCAGCTGAGTGACGACGATTCTTCCGTTCCCTCTTCAGCAATGCGATGGACCTTTTCGACGCCGGTCCAAGTTGTGCATTGGCTGCATGATTGAGAGCGGTTGACTTTGAATGGGGAAAGTGATCACTGATATTTCCTCTCAGTGTCGACCGCTAGTGTCCAGACTCGGAGGGATAAAAATGGGCATGATGAACCGATTATCAAGAAGGCCCTTACATCACGTCCATGATGGATAGGTATATTTGTACTTTGTACCTTTATGACTAAATAGATTTCTCGAAAGCTTGCACCCACTTCAATTTTACATTCTCCGGACAGCCTCATGTACACCGACTGATGGAGATGGAAATACGATTGAGACGCGTTAAAATTTCTCAGACCGAATCCGTAGCATGATCGCGAAATCATGACACGAGAATATGTGCTTCTCGGTGACGGCAACAGCTTCTCTCGACGATGGCGACGACTTACTACTTTCACTGAAGAGTGCGAGTCCGAAGATAGAGAAGTGCACAATTTCGAAATGTGGACGTTTCGAGACTCGCTTTACATTTTGATCACGAGACTCGAATCTATCCGAGTTCCTTGAATGAGCCTGCACAGAATTCAGGTGCGGGACCGTTCCACAACCGCTTGATCAAGTAAGACTGAAACAAATCTGACTCCAGATGGCCGATGTTTCTCGAGAATCCATCCCAGCACTTGTATGAAGACCTTTACTGTCCACCCATATCTACCTGACACCAATCCCTGTATAGATTCATCCTGGAAGCCATCGCCATCGAAGAAGGCCTGCCTCGTCGTCATTACTCGAAAAATGAATTTCTCGAATTGCTAGTAGCCTACTCCCCCGAGACCAGGAAACTCCACGAGATGGAAAACGACGGGAGTTCCGTGATGGACCCTTGGCCATTGCTCGATCTGATCATCAGCTCGAGTGGAATTCCATGCCTCGAGACGCAAATTGAAGCCCGGGGCAAACACGAAGGGACTCGCATGACTGACTAACAGACTCCCCAAGAGACGCCCCAATCCGAACGAGTGAAGTAGCATTGTGGTTGAAATTTGCTCCATGGAGTGGGAGCCCTCTAGCACAGTCCTCTAGTCCTCTTTCAGATTCAAATTCAACTCTTTGACATTTATTTATACACCATCGCCGCCTGGCTCAAAAGAAAACGGAAACTCCAGCTCTCATGCGCCTCTCCATCTGATATCGGATTGCTTCCATCTATCCCGAACGATGAAGGGAGGGAGGAGATTCATGGAATGGAGCTCCAACAATCTTCTCGACAAACTGACTTCGGAATTCGTGACGTACGAAACAACCTCCGAATGGTTTTGACAGCCAATTCTGGAACTGTAGTTAGCAGCGCTCGGGAGTTCCTTGAATTTGCTCCTTGAACTGATGCTAACACCCAAATTACTGAATCGAAACCATCGAAGTCTTCGTATGAATTTCAGAAATTATTGAAGACTGTCATTTGAGTCAGGTCATCTGGTGAGGTCGGTGAATGGCAAACGACGCTCCTGAGCCAGTGCGCGTGAGTTAAGATCATGGTTGTTATACGGAATGTTGTCCTTGGCTCAAGAAGCAAAGTACGAACGAATCGAAGGATTGAAGCACCATCGCACGATACTCGTTAATGGTGCCATTCACTGAACTCGAGTAAGTGCGTACCTCATCTCATCCTACCACACAATTGTCAGTAAGTTTCAATGGACTTTGTGGCAGCAATGATGGCCATTGCCACGGTATTGTTAATGTTGTCATTATACTTAACTCAAGTTAGCGGCACTTTCAAGCAAGCAATAATTGCTTTTGTTTGTGTTTTTGTGTTTCGAATTCATGACTTTTCTTCATGGGAACTCTCGATGAATGTAGTCACTCTTTGATTGTTTCATCTGGAGAGCAGCTCGCTCCTCGACAAAGGTAACAATGTCCAACCTAGCTTCTCCCGATGTGACATCACAATTTATGCTATACTTTTGACATAGTTATTTGCAATTTCATTACATTTAATTACATGTTTGAAAAAATTGTATTTTGAGACGTCTTGTATATAAATTACAGCTTGGATATTTGATATATTTAAAATAAAAAAAAAATTTACAAAAAAAATATTTGATGTAAACTATCGAATAATGTCCTAGTCAAATATCAATTTTATTACAATAATATATGGTTCTTGGTAAATATACTCCCGGACAGTGAAAATTATATCTAAACTGGAAGTGTTGGTTATAGACGAGATTTAAACGTCGTTCCAAAACATTGTCCAGTGGTTGCCTTATATTCATGCAAGAATTACGTTCGGCGTTTGATGATGTATATATATTCAGATGGGAGAAATTCAAAAACAGTATTTCTCTATGGCAACTTTACCAGTAAAATATCCCATATTTGAAAATTTAGAGAAAAAGTAAAATCATGAATTTGGATTCAAACGATTGTCGAAGAGATGGAAAGAACTTGAAGGAATGAAAAATATGATATAAATAGGAAAAAGAATGATATATCAAAGCAATAATGGATACTAGATTCAAGATAGTTCAAATACTTCAATCACTTCTTAAATGATTTAAGAAAAGATAGTACCTCCAAATATACTAAATCTATTTGATAGAAAAGAATTTGCAAAATTAGCTGATTGATTTATCTTTATTTTCTTTCACATCTGGTAAGGTTAATGAGAAGAAATTGTGGTGAAAGTCTAACCACACCGTACTTATTTATTTTGAAACAATATTTACTCATATGTTTTTCCACACAGTATAAAATAGATGTGTTTACTCTATGAATTGACAACAAATTGATTCGAAAGAAAACTCATATCGAGGTTTATATTCAATGAGTACAAGGTTTGTTTCTCGCGTAAAGATTATGTTTTTTCCACTAACTTGGAAACAGCAGTGGGTCATATGTACAAGTCATAATCTTTGAACGCAAAGAAATGGTCACTTGATGATATTTTTAAGTTCTTCTCACAAAAGCTTCCCCATGAAATTGAGAGTCAAAAGTGTGTATATAGCTGCATAGCAAAGAGATCATCTTAACTTCACACATGATATTATACTCCATAAACATAATTCACAGTTGGGTCCGCGGGTCCCATGACATGACAGATTATTTCTCCCCTCCCTGTTTCTCTGTCTAGTCTAGCGAGAGCTCCACATGTTCTCTAACTATTCAATTTCTAACTACAACGTGGCAATGAGTGTATGCTAAACTTTTTACAGTTGCATTTCTTGACACCTGACATTGTATTTGGTGTTTTTTACTGTGACGTGCACTAGTTGGACGTAAATTGATGTGTACGCTGACTATGTATCTCTTAACAATATAGGTATATGTATGATATTAATCCTTGAATTACTTCTATTAGTGTGTAAATGTACCTATATAAAATTTTTGAACATGTGATATAATGAACATAGTGAAACGTACAATTCAGCATAAAAAATGGTGAAACATCATACAAGAATACCAACCAAAATTTGTAAGTACCAACCAGTATTTGCACATTAGATCTCATGAAGTGACGTTTGTGCTCAATAAGCTTCAGATTTATATGGTCTTCAATCATATACAAATCATTGAAAAAGTTTCAATTTATTTAATTATATTATTCAATTTGAAAACTTTTGGTGGTAGAAATAAAATCATTGGAAGAATAAATCTCACAAAACATGTACAAGCGGTGAAAAAATATATTATTAATCCATAACGATATTAAATGAATGTACAAATTCAAACAATTCCATCTATTGAGTAGTATACATCAACCGAGTATCCACACTGATCAGTTACAAGCACTGATTACTCAATTATTGAGAACACTAGTTAGGCAATCGACAACATCAGTGATGCTCTGTTGAATACGGTGACCTTCAATGGACAGGACATGACTCTGTCTGGGACAGCCGAGAGCAGATTCTATCCATCACTCTCAGAGGTCGGCCTGCAGAATTAGTGGCCACTCCTGTGTAAGTTGATTGAGCTTTCCATATTGTTTCGGTGACATGGAAGGTGTATTTCTCGATGAAGAATGGAACGCATTGGATCCCATGAGAACAGAGCACTGGAGCTGAAGATGAGTGCACGGCACGAGGTCATAAACAAGCGACCGTCTGAACATGGAGATCCAGCAAAACCCCAGGGCTCGCAAGCAGGAAAAGCCAGCCAGCGAGCCAGGGATTTTCTCTTTCTTTTGTAATGATAAGATAGAGGAGAACGTCAGATGCGAAAATGCGAAAATTTAAAGTCTTTTCTGCTTCCGACGTAGTGGAGTTTTTCAGTAAACACATGGACTGAACCACTTTTCTCGTTCTGCTCCGCGAAGTAAAGCTGTACAAACCATCATATAAAATTGATGGATGTTTTGATCTCCATTCTTTATTGCAATACGAGTGAGTTGTCCTAACAAACCCTAAAAGAGTTGAATGTCACATTGGTGGTGATAAAGCACCAACTTCTAGTCAAGTGGTAGTCCATGATGTGAAAATGGCATCTTGACGAAAGCAGAACATAGCAACAATT